AACAAGTCAGCGATTCTTTACAAAATGATATGTCTTAATATTTCTCTCAACCAGAAACCTGATAGATATGGAATATATTTTTTCGCATAATATTAGATATAAATGTACAATTTTCTTACAATTTTGTCCATACCAATATTTTTATCTGTATTAGATGAAGTATGAAAATGGACTACTTCGGTTGACTATATCTGGTACCTCATGCACATTTTTAGACTTTCTGAAAATTATCGCATATCTCATATAAAATGAAAGAAGTAACCAATATACGTGTTTGTTTTCTCTTCAATATACTCCAACCCTAGCACGTCACAATATTTATATCATATTATTTATGTCCGATACGAAATGGACAATATTGGTCCATTCTTTCGGAACCTACTCCAAAGAGGGTCAGCAATTTGAATATTCATAACATAACTCAAAATATATTTAAATAATCGAACATTGGCTGAGGGTATACATTCTTTCGGCAAGACCAACAGATATTTTGTATTACTTTTTTTTAAATTTTTAGAATTCCAAAATTTTAAAATTATTTTTCGAATTCGCAATATAAAAATACAGGAAAAATTCGACAGGAAAAAGGGGATTTTAAAAATCCAACTAAGTATAACCTGAAATGAATAAAATATTCGAAAAAAAAAACAAAAATTACTGATTTAAAATTTGTTGACATAATTACGACGTACTCTATTATTAGGTTTTATGGTTATAAAAGTCAGTTAAATATTTATTAAATATTTGATATGTATCGTACAACAACACAACAACTGAAATTAGCAAGTAAACAAAGCGGGAAAGCAATGAATAAATTATAAATTGAAAAGGGGGATAACAGATAGTAAATTAAAGTCAGCTTTATATTTTAAAAATAACAATATTATGTGATAAATGGTTTAAAAGCTTAAACTTTAATTCAATACACTAAAGGCCAGAATATATAGCGACATTTTCACATTTATCTTTTGCATTTTTATAGCATACTTTTAGGTGCTACTCAGATTTTTTTTTAATCTGAAAAACTCTTTATTTATGACTTATATAAAAAAATTAAAAGTATGGGATAAATAAAATACAAGTACAGTTATAGCAATGTAGAGTATGTAGTTTAATTAGGATAGCATTGCTCCTTGAAGTATGCTATAAAAGAATTAAGTTATAAAATTTTAAAAAATCCTCTACCATTATATGTAATCGCGTAAAGCGATAGATTGGGCTGTAGATCTCGTTAAAAATTGTCTCTATTCTCTATCTGTTATGATTATTCAAATTGTTTTCCCACTATGGGGTGGGTTCCGAAGGAATGGCCCAATATTGTCCATTTCGTATCGGACCTAAATAAATATGATATAAATGCAGAGTGAGATGAAAACACTGCAACCAACTTCAGACTGCTGTAATTTCTAAGCCACTCGTCCGACAGCTGTTTAAATGATTTAAATGATTCCAGTGACAGCTCATTATATTGTTTACAAGCGTAGAAAAATATTTTGGTGAGAATTTTCCAGAAAAAAAGTTATTCGTGATGGAATTCAAGCGTGATTTCTTTATATTTGGCTGGAAAACCACAAGTGGTTATCGTTAGAGCACTCCAGCATTTAAATGTGAATAAATCTTTTGTGTCTCGTACCATCGCTCATTACCGTGATACTGGTAGCGTAGCCCGACGTCAAGGAAGAAAACAGCAACATCTGCAGAAATTGTTCTGAATGTAAAGCAGCGCAGTGGCTTAAAAATGGCTCGTGAGCTGAACATATCGCACATATATTACATTCGGCAAATATTGAAAAATGAGCTCTGGGTAAAGCCATTGAAATTCCAAAAAGTGCAAGAACTTACATCGCAACAGAAAGAAACTAGGCTCAAAAGAGCTAAAGAGTTGCTTCGTTTGGCTGAAAGTGGTGAACTGCCGAATTTGGTTTTCTCCGATGAGAAAACATTCGTTGTCCAGCAGTTTGTACTTGCTTTACTTTACTTGCCAAAGAGGTCAGCTGAAAATGTGCATCATCGGTTGGCCACCAGAACTCAAGCGCCGGCCATGGTGATGGTGTTGGTCGCCATAACAGCCGATGATCGGTCTCCGCTCGTATTAATCGACCGTGGCATCAGAATAAACGCCGAATATTATCACGAAAATATTCTGGAGGGTGTATTAAAGCCTTGGTTTACATTTTGGCCGCAGGCCTTGGAAATTCCAACAGGACTCCGTACCATCGCACTCAGCACGCGCCGCCCAAGAATGGTTACAAAATGAGGTTCCTCGCTTCATTTCCAGCGCACAATGGCCACCAAAATCTCCGGATACCAATCCGTTGGACTATTATGTCTGGAGTATTTTGGAAAGCAAGGTTGGCACTAAAAAATACCAAAGTGTCGATCACCTCAAGCAAGCGCTTCTCCGGGAATGGGCCAAAATACCGCAGAGCAACATTCGGGCAGCGGGTGACGGTTTCATTGGCCGTTTGAAGGCCATAATTCGTGCCAAAGGCGACCAATCCGAACAATTCCAAACTTATTATTGATGCTATTTACGACATAATTAAAAAAAAATGTGTAAAAATTATGACGTTTGACTTTGTTGGAGGTTTTTTTATCTCACCCTGTATATGTTTCATCCGATTTTAAGTCCCTCACATGCGTGATATGCACTCCACAACAATGTTCTTTGGTATAAGATATCAGATACAACCCAGTACTGCCTTTGTCAAATTGTACCGAAATCGGATCAGATTTGGATATAGCTCCCACATATATCCTTACCCGATATCAGTTTTATTGTGCTTAAAATGACTAATATCAGCGCAAATGAACTGAATCTGGGTAATTCCGAATGAATTCATCCTAGAAACAAGATCTTCAAATTTAGTGAAATCCGCTTCAGATATACCTATATCTCCCATATATGTGTCTCATCCGAATTGGTGTTTTCACTCAATCGAATGCGTAATATGCACTCCACAACAATGATCTTTGGTACCAGATAACATATACAGCTCAGATCGGTTCAGATTTGTATATAGTTCCCATATATATCATTATCCGATTTCAGGTTTATTGTGCACCAAAAGGCTAATATCAGAACAAATGAACTGAATTTCGGTACTTCCGATGGAATTCAGTCTAGAAACAAGTACTTCAAATTTGGTGAACATCGCTGCATATATACTTATAGTTCATTAGTTCATTCGAATTGGTATAAAAGTCCCTCACATGCTTAATGTGAACCCCACAACAAGGATATTTGATACCAGACATCAGACACAGGTCGAAAATACATCCGCCTAATAAAGTTGTTCAGATTCCAAATTTTGTTTAGTTTTCGAAATAATAAACAACAATTGAATTTGTTTTTATTAAATTGGCAAAATTTGCAATTTTACTAAAATAGTAGTTTTTTGCCAGTAGTCGGCACCATTTTCCAATGCTAGGCATGTCTATTTGCCAGTAGTCGGCATATAGTATTTCAGTAAAAAAAATATTATTTTGTAGTTTTTTTTTATTTCTAGTAGTATAAAACAATGCTATATTACTAATTCACAGTTCAATTAATTAATTTCGTTTTAAAATAGTGTTTTATTTAATTATCATTCTAAACCAATATAGGTAGAAAATCAAGAATAGTATGGTTACCTTCAGTAACGTATGGATTTTCAATTAAAATAAAAATGAGATTAAATAAAAAAGAAAAAAGGTTCCTTTCTTATATTTGGAATTTGTGAATTGATCTCTTTCCTTTCTTTAAAAATGCCACCGTTATCTAAAACGTCAAATAGATGATTTAAAAAAACCTACTTAATTTAGAAAAGTTGGTCAAAAAGCACAAATAAAAACAACTGCCGACACAAAAATATTTTTAATAGTTTTCTCAAGTTTTGGTGAAATGGGTCAAAAATTATATTTTTCTAGTAATCGGCTCCCCTTGCCGACGACTGGCAAATCTTTTTTTTTCTGTTCCTAATGTCGGCATTAAATAGTGTAACAGAAAAATGCTTGATTTGTAAATTTTTTAAGTTATAAAATGATCTTCAGACTGTTATTTACTTTAATAAAATATTTCTGATTCCAAAAGTATTAAATTTAATTTACTTAAATCGATTATTTAGTTGACACCACCACTAATTTTTTCTTTACAAACAAGCACTATCGCATGCGTTGGAAGACACTCACTGACGAAAACCGTTATTCTCTCGTAATAAATGATCGAAGCTCATTGTTTTTTATACAGAAAGAGAGCAGAGAACACTATTGACGGTTTTTTGCAATTATTTCATTATTTGGTTAATTCTATTCTTAGTTATTTAAGTTTAAATTTCAAAACTGCCGACTACTGGGACATGCCGACCTTGGGCGCACTTACCCTATCAGCCCAAATTGGATAGGTTTTTTAATACTCAACCGAATTTTTCAATTTATACCCATTGATGCTTTCCATATACCAATCTATCGTACTCTCATCAAACAGTGGTCATCGAATTATATTTCATAATTCCAGTTCAGCAATCATCATCGTATTGATCAGAAAACTATTTTAATAGGGTCTTTGATTCGAGCAAAATATTTCATCTCCCTATCAATGCATGTCTTATATATATTATTATTATTATTATATTATTATATATATTATTAAGTCCTCTAAATGTATTTTTATAATAATATCTATGATAATTTAAATAATTAATTTAAAATACTTTTTATATATGTAATACCCATGTATACCTATCTTAAAACTAATTTTTATTATTTCATTTTTTTAATTTATCTTTTCAAAACATTCTTCTATTTCCATGTAATTATTTTTTTCGTACAACACCTCTTTACCTCCCGGCAACATGACACAAACTTCTTTTGGTTTTATCTTTCCAACTGCACAATTTCAACTTTTTTTGTCGAAACACTTAACCGAAATCCTCCAACAACAACAACAACACCATCCTATCGACAATGAAACAACAATGAACGAAACCCAAATCCAACCCAACCCTCCATCATATACACAGGCAAACTAGCAGCAACACAATGGCGTACTCGATTTGGTCGTCTATCCAAAGTACCAGCTTTGGGTGAAGTGGATCCAACCGGATCATTTTGTGCCTTTCCCGACAATTGGTTAAAAATGAAAGCCGGTAAACAAAAAAAAAAACAATACATTTTTTCTTTATAAAATAATACCTAACACCCACTAGCACCTAATTGCCTTCAATGAACTTTGCTAGCATACACATATAAAGGCCTAATACACTAACAAATTTTCCAAGCCAAAAATTTTAAATACTTCTCTTTTTTTGGAATGTCTATTGGTTATGCTTAAAAAACGTAATTGGAATGCTTGTGTGTTTGAAATGTGTAATAAAATTGCTACAGTGAAACCTCATGCTACGCCAAAAGCTAAAAAATCTTAAAAATCTTCATCATTTCATTTTTTCTAGGCATCTACGAAAATGCAATTTTGAAATGTACAAATTATTGTCATTTTTGTTATATTTCCCCCTATGTAAGAGGTTTCACTGTAAATATTTTTATAGCTAGTAATTACAAAGTTTTCTTATAAATTCTCTTGTCTATTTATAGCCGAAAAAGCTGTTAGTCCCTCTAGTGCGGATTTATGGAAAAGTAAGTCGCTCCATTAATAAAATATAAAGTTTTAAATTAATTACAAATTTTTTCCCTATTACAGTTTTCTTTGTAAATGCTGTGCCATTTGTTGCTTTCGGTTTTCTGGATAACTTCACTATGATTATCGCTGTAAGTTGGTTTGGAAAAGCATTAAATAAAGAAAGTAATGAATTCGACAGGACCGAACTTTTAATGTGTTCTGTCATTTGGAAAGTAATACTTTTGAAAATATTTTATTGAGAGCCAAGAGACAGTATTCGAGCAGTATATGTTATATCTGTTATCAAGAAATTGTCATAACAATGTTCAAAAATTTCCGTTGAAAAATGTGCCCGCTTTATGGGGGTTATACGAAAACATGCAACCAAATAGACAATTTGGCACCACAGGGAATATACCGATTGCGAACATCAAACTCCTAATCTCAAATAATTATTTTGAAAAAACATATGGACCTTTACGTAAACATGGGCTCGTAAAGACAATAATTTGTCATTGGAGGAAACAATCTTGAAATTGGTGAGACTCGGTTCAAATTTAGATATAGCTCCGATATATATCTTCAACCGATTTCGGGTTAATTGTGCACCAAATGGCCAATATCAATCCAAATTACCTGAATTTTGGCACATCCGACCGAATTCAGTCTAGAAGCAAGTACATCAAATTTGGTTCAGATATAGCTTTAGCTCCCATATATATATGTTTTATCCGATTTGGTCTTCAAGTCCCTCACATTCGTAATATGCATACGACAACAATGATATCTGGTACCAGATATCTTATAGAGCTCGGAAATACCTTTATCAAATTTTATGGAGATCGGCTGAGATAAATATAACTCCCATATATATCCTTAATCCGATTTCATGTTTATTGTGTAATAATGGCTAATATCAGCCCAAATGGTGTGAATTTCGGGACGTACGTTTCTATTTGGTGGAACTCTGCTCCGATATACATTTTTTAATATACTCCTTCTCGAAGTGATATCATGCACTCTATAGCAATATTATTTGGTATAAAAGTTAAAAAATGTCTCCGTCAAATTTAGTGAAAATCTATTCAGAATTGGATACGGCTCTGATATATTTCCTTCTGACACCAAATTATAACTGCTCTAAAGCCAAATATTGATAGGTGTTAGATCTACATTAAATAATTCTTTTGTTACGGGAGCTCTATTAAAAATGCATAGTGGTGGTGTAGGGTATCATATAGTCGGCCCGCCAAAACCTTTGACTTTTCCTTACTGGTTTTTAAGTCGTGAAGGCATTCAAGACGCTTTTTAATCGAAGCCATTCCGAAATCAATTTTCCAACTTGCTTCGCAGTTACACGGGATGTAACAAAGGGTATATATCAGTTTATACGGCCAAAAATGCCTCGCCGAAATAAATTTTTTGTACGCTAGGTCTTTTGGGGCCAAATCCGTTTCAAAACATTTGTAGTTTTTGTAGCGGTGTCGGTCCGTCCGTATATTTGTGTGGACGATGCGCACTGTAACTCTCAAAGGGAGTATCCGATTTGGTTCACACTTGGTACAACGTAATATTATTATCAAACGTAAATTGATGGGCAACATCGATTCACTCCTTCTGGTACCTCTCCCACAAAAGATCAAAATTTTCACACAAAAATAATCTACCTTTACTAGAATAGATCATCCAATTTTGTGCAAACTTTGAAAATCTTAATATTTTTAAAGGACAATGTCGGGCTACTCCAGAAAGTATCTCCCCCACAAAGGGTCAACATTTATAAAATGTGAAATAAATGTCCGGTTGACTTTAAATTTCTTAATATTTCTACCACCACAAGAGATAGCATGAAGATGGGATATAGTGCACCACTCCTTCTGGAACTTCCCACACAAAGGGGTTAAAATTTAAAATAAACATGAGGAAAGAAACTGGGCACAGATGGAATATATCGATCTACTCCTCCTGGTACACACCGACCAGGATGCGAAATAAGCATATGATTATTTCTAAATTCTTTACACATTCCAGTATTTCTACTAATAAAAGTTGATGTGTGAAGATGGAATAAATCCGACTACTGCTTTTGGTCACTCCCCTACAACGGGTCAAAGTTTTGAATAATTATGAAGCTCATACAATGCGAAATAAATAAGTGCGAAATTCCAATATTTCAGCTAACACTTGTATGTAAGCAAAACGATGGAGACCTCCTCCACAAAGGGGTCAACATTTTAAATAATAAAACGATAATAAAAAGGGATAAAAGTATCCGATTCACTTTAAAGTTCACACATACCAATATTTCTTTCAACACAAAATCTGATATGAGGATAATATATCGGCCCACCTCTTCTGGTACCTCCCCCACAAAGGGAGATAATTGGAATTTCATCGTGATTTTCTAGAAGAGTTTTTGCTCTGAGTTCAAGTCGGGTCCCAGTTGGACTTTTCGACCCTTTTTTGTTTTCTAAAACAGTAGGATTGCATCCAATTTAATTCACATTTTCTATGTTTTTTTTTTATATTATATACTAAATAATATGTATATTTGCGATGTTTAATTTTCTTTCAGGGTGATTACATTGAGTATTTATTCGGTACCTTTATGTGTATATCCACCATGGCTGCAGCTGGTTTGGGTAACACGATCAGTGATGTCTTAGGCATTGGTTCGGCCTACTATGTGGAACGTGGTTGTGAAATATTGGGCTTAAGGCCACCAGATCTAACACCCATACAGATGGAAATGAAATCTAGTCGTAGAGCCGCGAACTACGTAAGTGGGAAAAAATAAAACAATTTCACACACATTTAATTTAATATAATTCTTGTTTTCAGGGTCGTATTATTGGTATTACTGTCGGTTGTTTGGTGGGTATGTTCCCACTTCTGTTTATGGATCGCAAAGCCATCGAAGATGAGCGCAAAGAGGAAGAAGAACGAAAAAAGCTGGAACTTAAACCCAAAGCAGAAACAGATAATGATGCTGCAATATCATCAACAACATCAGCTCAATAAATCAAAAAAAGAAACTAACTAAAATTAGTTGTAATTTTCCGTTTTCTTTTTCTGCATTCTATGCGCCTTGTATTTTTCTTTATGTCTAAATCACACTTATTTCTTTCTTTGAAAACTATTCTGTATTTCTTTTTTCTCTTAGACTATTGTTTAAAGTTAAACTTCGACTTTCGCTTTATTTCAATTGTGTAGCATAAACAAAGATTACAAAAAGGGAATTTATTAACATAGCGATATTATTTTTTAGTTCTACCTCCTGTTTAATTTTAAAAACTTAATATACATACAACAGACACAATAATTATTAAACATACAATATTATTTTGTAGTAATGGCGGATTTATGTTTGTATTTTATAAAAAAAGCAAAAGATTACAAATCAACATCTATTTTAATGTTATTATATTATTTAAGAGATAAAACCTAAAAAACAATAAACAATTAATAATGACTTTATACACTAAACACAACAAACAACATTGTTTTCTAATTTCAAACGATACTATTCTATTTTAGAGTTTTATAACAGCCTTTCTTTCGACTTCCGCCTAGTGAGCTCCTTTTAACATTCCATAAATTTTCTTTAAGAGATTTATAATAATTTCTACTTGTAACCGTCCACATTTTTTACACTTTCTACAGACAACTGCCTACACATAGATCAGACATACTTTTATATGTATTTGTTGTTTTATAATTGATGTTCCCAACTTTTCATCTGAAAACACCATGTAACTGTTCTAAAGATATTGTTTTATTAGTCCAGTCTTCCATAGATAATAAATTAAGTAGTTTTGGTTTTTTAGTTTAAAAGAAATAAACCAACTCATTCTAAAAATATTTTAAAAAAATCTACTATTGTAGCTCAATTTTCGATGTGAAACTATTTTTAAAAGATCCATAAGTTATTTGGATAGAACTCCTTCCAAAAATTTTTAAAAATCCACATTTCCAAAACCCATTCTGAAAATATTCTTTTAATATTGAGGGCGACTGTTCAAAAGTTCTACCGTAAATATTTCAAAAAGTCCACGATTACTGTTTCCTTACAAAATGTTTCCTTTCCATTCTTAAAAATCCACGATTATTGTTCAAAAAGTGTGTGAAAAAATAATCGGTAAAAATTCCTTAAATATTCTTTAAGAAGCCATCAATAAGAACCGAAAGGTTCTTGAATAATATTCTCAATATTATTGCACCTAAGGTTCTTTAGCTTAATGTAATATTCTACAAAATACATTTTAAATGTACTAAAAGTACTCGAAAGCAATATAGTTTAAAAGCCCATTGAAAAATATTTTGTGAAAACTCACTATTGTGGCTTGAAAGTCCTCGAAAAAATATACTTTCAAAAGCCACCAATAATGCCCTTACAGGCATGGAAGAAATTTCCTTTAAAAATCCATAACTATTGCGCCAAAAGTCGTTGGAAAAATATTATTTTAAAATCGAATTTTCGACACACAAATTCTTTCGATTTCTTTTATAGTCCTAGAGACCTTTTATTAACATTTTTTAATCCAAGTTTAGAGCTCTCTTCGGGCCCGTGGTCAAGTGACAATTACATGTCCTCGAACAATTATTACGATTAATACTCTTAATGTTAGGTTTGGTTGAAGGACACACTGTTGTCTTAAGGTGAATATTCCACTCGGAGGGAACATAAAAAAAGAAACATATTGGAAGTAGTAGTTTGTAATCCACGACTAGGAGGCGACATATTGCCTTTAGCCACTTTAAAACTGAAGAATTACTGTTCTATGTTGGAGAATGAAGATAAATTGTACATAATAAGCCTGTTTCTCACATTGATGAGACTTAGATAGTGGCACATTAAATGTTCGAACGTCTCAGTTGCCTCCTCATCCTGGCAAAGCCTACATCATAGGCACTTAATTTAGAAGTATTGACCTTTATGCTACTGTGGTCTGTGATGTTTCCCACCACACGTTTATGATGATGTTTAATGTTTCCCACCACAGTTTTCGCCATGGAAAGGAACGACCTTGTAGGTCAAATTTGCTTCGGGACATTACACCCACTTTCATCTAGCGAGTTTTTTTAAATCTCCCGGAGTAATGCTGGTCTAACCGAGTTGTAGACATCCATGTCAATTGACTCGGATCCACGTCTTGTCAATTCATCTGCCTCTTGGTTATCTGACATTTTGCAATGGCCTGAACGCCAACAACAGACCTTGCCACTCAAAACTGCTATAGATTTAATTCTAAACGATTTTAGCGCCTTTAATGCAACCTAACTATCGAAGTTTAGTTAAGTTCACTGCATTAGATCTGATCAGATCTATGGCTTTTTGATCCGAAGAAATCTGTTTGGAATACGCTACAATCGTTAAGTTTGTTGGACTGGCTAATGTTTAGAACCATCAATATAGACAGCTATCCCCAACAAAAGTAGATTGTTAGTGGTTCAAATGTCCCCGCCAGTATGTGCGTGGCGTGGCAAGTGGTTCGAAGTTCATCCGTGGTGATATGTAGTCACTGGCTTTTCCTTCGCCTCATATACATTCCACACGACGTAAGAATGCAGATTTTCCAAAGTATTGCTTGCGCCATTGTTTAAGTTCTCTGAGTCTTAGAGCACATCTGACTGACTATTCCTCTACATAGAGACTTAATGGATTTAAGAGAAGCGATGCGGCCCTTTGAACTTTATCAATGCCCAGCTTGTATGATAACTTATTTAACGAGTGCCACCAAACTTAAGCTCCATAGGTAAGAATCGGACGGGCCATTGATACATATATACATTTACTTATATGCGGTTTTAGACTCCTACCTATATAGAGTTCTTGCAAGACTAGAGTTCGATTAAGTCTCCCCTCGTATTTTACCCAATTCAATCTAGTTTAGTTGTTGGTCCGAGATATTGGCTTCTGAAGAAAGGCTTAAATTGACTCCATCTAGCAATGGCGGCGAGAACTCAAGGAATTTACGTTTCACGTGAAGCGGACGAGCTCTGTCTTAGATGGGTTAAGCCTACTAGCCCATTGCTGCGAGCCCACATTTGAAGTTTAACAAGACCACCTTGCATTATATCTGAAATTGTTTGTAGGAACTTCCCAGCACTCAACAGAACCAGTTAAGTTCATGATTCTGTTGATGATTCTGCTGCTGAGCATATCATCATCCATTCTATGAAGAACTGGGGACACCAAGTTTTTAAAGAGAGTTCTCGATATCGAGAAAAGGTAAATAGAAAACCATTCATATTTTTCCTGATGTAATCAACGACATTATACTCCGCTGTCTCAACTGATTTGCTTTTCATGCAGGCATGCTGGGCAGTGCTGATGGAGCTTTGATTTTAACATCAATTAACCTTTGTAGGGGTTTCAGTAGAAAGATGGAGAGGCTAATAGGTCTGTAGTTCTTTGGTAGTGAATGACTCGGTTCCATAGCTTTGGGGATGCAAGTGACCTCCCTCCCCAGTATCCAAAAGTGCGATACACACAAATCGACCCCAGAATGGGAGCTATCGCCGTCAAAGTCTTTTGTAGAATGGCGGAAATAATACCGTCTGGTCAAGGTGATTTGAAGGATTTGAAAGTGTTTATGGCCCATAGACATAATAATTCCATTGATACAATTTTAAACTTCAATTTCAATTCTTAATTTTTCATGACGAGGACAAGTTCTGTTTGCGATGTGTTTACACCTTGCATTAGGTCTGAAATTGTTTGCATTAATACTGTTAAGGTTCTTAAACAAATTCAATTACAAAAACCAACGATAGGTGCTTGATGTTTTTCATTAAAAGCATCCTTCAAATTCAAAACAAAATTGTTAATCTATACCATATGTACCGTATGTCTTATAAATAGTTGAGGCTTTCCTTACCATGTATCCTTCTCTTCCTAAACCGAAGATTTTTTGTTGAGAATGAATAGTATGGACTTGTGTCTTAAGACTTATAAAGAACACAAGGTGACTGAATTACCAACAACGTCATAACTTTGTCAATTGAGTCTTATAGCCTATTCACAGAACTTTTGTTTAAGGAAGACAAGTAATTGCTACCCAGACAATCAAGTTTTTATTTCAGTTCATTTACTTTTTTCGTCTGGGAGTAAAAGCTCATTTTACCCATTGCCGTACTGTAAAAAATTGTTTATGTTTCCAAAAAGAAAATTAGTTTATTTAATTATTTTTTTTTTTTAATTATTACGTCCGTTGGTTTTAGACGTGGCGTGTCGGTGCCCGGACATAAACACCATTGCAATTATGGGGATTGACCGGTTTGTTCCCTTCCTTTCGGACAACGGGGACATTAGGTATACCCCAATCAAGACCACAAGATTAAATTTGGTTATGCAACATTTGATGATAAGTATATTGTTCTGTAAAAGTGCTAGTAGTGGTGGCCATTTGGCTTATACTGTTTTTTCATTATTAATGACATACCTTGAAAGCAGGAGTCAATATCAAAAAACCAATATTTAAATATAGTCTTTCACAAGAGACAGAGAACAAGGATAATGTTCAGAAAGCAAGCTGGATTACTTGCCAGATTTCTTTAGATACTTTATAACCAATTTCCCACAGCCATCTTGAGCCCACATTCTCTGGTAGGACATTTTTAAGACATAATAATTTATTAGTATTTTGAGAGTTTCATTCGTTAGCGATTTGTTCGAATGCATGCTCTTTCAAGTTAATTTAAGTACTAAGGGAACCACTTTAAATCACACCCGAGGGATAGAATCAAAGCGGTACTATAATGACTGTAACCCACTTGGCATACAGTAGAGCACGTGATATTCATAATTCACCTTTTATAAAATTATAATTTTATATGTTTTATTCTTCACTTTTTTTGTTTATAACTGCTTTCGATTTGAAATTCGAAGATGTAATGGGAACATCAACAATTAGAACATAACTCAACAATGCACTGCATACATTCTTTGCAATCAAAGTCAATTATGATATTTAACATTTATTAAATATTTTTTATTAAGATTCTATTAATTTTTTGATGTTTTCTTTTTAATTTGATCATCATTCAATCTCCAGCTCAAGTGCACTTTTTTACAAAACCAAAAACACTGTCTTATCATTTTTTTATACTTATTCCACTTTCGAACTAAAGATCTTCCAAAAATGAATACCTAAACCAAAACTGATGTACCTATTTGCTATTTAAACAAAAAAAATAACAACTATAACAAATATTTATTAATACAATATATATTGAGATTTATCAACATTATAGATATTTTTAGTAGCTGATAAATTTAACAAAACAATTAGTTAATGGTCATGAAAAACTAAAAATCAAATTAGAAATGAAAATTAACATGATGAAGAACAAGCACCAACATTTATATTACTTTATTAGTTTTAGTATTTCAGTATTTCATAATAGAGATGAAATAATTTTAATTCTAGGGAATTGAATCCAACAACTAAACAAATTTCAGTTGTAGTGAAATCAAACAAACAGTCTTTAAAAAATGAAAAGAAAGAATAGTTTCACAAAAGCTAACAAAATTTGGAAATAAAATTTTGGTTGATATTGTGAAATAATCGTTTACACTGTGCAACACATTTAAGGATATTAAGAGTCAACAACTTTCAGTCAGCCTTACTAGAAGTACGTTCATTTTGCTCTTTCTCAAATATTGTATTGGGAAACAATCATTTGGGGACCCTTATTTGTACAAAACAATAATCAGGTCCTATTGACTCTTGTATTCAGTCAAGCTTTCAAGTTTGCCTGAATATTTACCCCATGAATTCCAATCGATATTCTTATATATTTTTTTTTTTTTGATCTCGATATGTGGATGTAACCAATGAAAGTTGCTGCCCCTTAGTGTTTTGCATTGTGTAATTGAGCAATCTCTGCAAATTATTAAAAACAAATCTATGGAGTTTTGACAACACGATATAGTTTCAATATTATATTTTATAAAATTCCACAAAAAAACGAATGTAAAAGTAAAATGTTTATAAAATACACAATAATTTGCAAGGAAACCCATAATAAATCACTATGTTTTATACCCTGCACAACAGAGTGATAAGGGTATTTCTTTGTGCATTTGTTTGTAACATGGAGAAGCAAACGAGATAGACCTATACTTACTTTAGAGGATCTTCATAGAATCACTTTCTGAGTCGATTATGCATACCAATCCGTCTGTCCATGTATTCTTGTGAACAAAATGCAGGTCGCATTAATTATCCGATGGAGATGAAATTTTCCAAACAATATTTGTTTGGCTCACGGACGAACCCTATTGAAATTGGTGAGCATCGGTTCAAATTTAAATATAGCTCCCATATATACCTTCAACCGATTTCAGGTAAACTTTTCACTAAATAGCCAATATCAGTCCAAATGACCTGGTACATCTGACCGAATGCGGTATAGATGTAAGTACATCAAATTTGGGGAAAATCAGTTCAGATGTAGCTATAGCTCCCATACATGTGTGTTCATCCGATTTGATGTTTAGATCCTTCCCAATCGTAATATGCACCCCACATGAATGATATTTGGTACCAGATATCTGATAAAGGCAGAAATACCTCTGCCTATTTGTATCAAGAACCGTTCAAATTTGGATATAGCTCCCATATATATCTTCAACCGGTGTCGGGTTAATTGTGTACTAAATGGACAATATCAGCTCTAATAAAAATATATTTTGGTGTAGTGTATCATATAGTCGGCCCCGCCGACTGAATTTTAATTACTAGTTTTAACAAATGTCTTTGAAAATATTTACAATTGGAAATTCTAGGAGGCTCTATATATTACTTTTTCAATTGTTAGGAGGGGTGGAGTAGTGCCAAAGAAGTTGACCGGTAAATTCCATTTTCCAATGTATGTAATGTGAATAAAATCGAATATTGTCTTCCCACTATAGGAGGGAGTGCACCCACATTGTCAATTTTCACAACTGACCCAAGTCTTATCTTAATATTACTATGTGCCAAGTTTGAACTTTATTAGCCACTCCCTTCTCTAAATATGTGGTTGTTATGTTTTTTTTTCAATTTTTGGGTGTGAAAAAACCGACTAAAACCGTTATTTCGATGAGTCACATTTTGGCCAAATCAAATTATTTATGCCTGAGGGTATACAAATTCCAAGATATTTGCATATATAGTAGTCAGGAACTCTGAACAATTTGACCTTTTGTTCTGGTGGTAGCAGATCCTACTTATATGGCAATGTGATATTTAAACAGTGTCTGCTTATAATGGTGAAAAAATGAGAATATATTGGCAATCTATGAACCCTAATTGGTCTTTGAATTATAATAACACTTTCCAATTTAACAAATAGCCAGATTTCGTTTCATAAAAACTGGGGATTTGGTTCGAATAAGACCATCAAAGCATTATCTGCTAACTCGTTGTAGAAAAATATTGACATAGCCGGCCCCAATGAACTACGCTGGACCACCTCGTACCGCGTTATTGGCCAACTACCATTAGGTTTAACTTCAGGAAGGATAGCAAAGAAATCTCACCATCGTAAATAAAATAAGCCTAAAACTTAGATGTATACCGTCACAGCTATCTGAACCAATGATCTAAATGTATATACAAACCACTAGACACTTTTTATGCTTACAATTTCGAGTAGCTTTGAAGATATCAAATCCACGCACCAATATCTCTTGGTTGCGTTAAATTCCATCCTATAGTCCTTTACTATTCCTGATTTTTCCATATTTTTTATATTTTACTGTTGCACATGCGAACTTAGAAAAATGTAACAATAACAAGCCAAGGTCGCGAATCAGACCAATCTATGCCTCCGAATAGCCAATTTTTTTTTATCGCTGGAATGCACAGCAACGCTGCTCTAAAAGCATCTACATTTTCAATATGCATCAGTATTTAGATTTAATGCCTGTAAAACTTATACCTAAAAAACCCTGGCAGTGATCTGAAAGCGAAAAATGACGGCTATTGAATATTCCGTCTTATTAACAAGCGTTTGCTGAAGTGTTTCTAAGCTTGCTGGAATCTTATATTGTTCCATATATTGTTCTATAAACGTGGCTAAACAAAAAATTACAAACGAAATTGGTTACATGAATCCTATACCAAGCCATTCACCATTATGCACATTGACAACACACCGATCCATGATACAATCTGAAAAATGTTCTAAATTTCAATAGCCCTAACGTAAATAATGAAATTCTTGTGTATTTCAACATATCAAATTGACACAGAATTACCCATTTGTAATGTTAAAATATTTAGACGCAAAGGCATTAAGTTCAGATGTCCATGAGCATCGAGCTAATTACAAAAAGTTTTTAAACTTGAATGTAATAGTTGTTTATGGTTTTCCAACTTCAAATTTTAAAACTTATAGCATTTCAATACACTTTTTATCTTTCCTTGCCAACTGTTTAAATTATTCCGAACAAAAAACTGTTCGTAAAAACTCCTCAAGAACATACAATTAGCTTGCTTAGAAACAAATAATCATATTAGAAATCAAATAATGAGCTTTATCGCAATTAGCTATTAGAATATTTAAATTAGTAAATCAATGTGTTTTAGCTGAAATAATTAGTTTTGTGTGTATGTCTATTTAGTAATAAGAATAGTAAAAATTCAAAATGACAAGTAATAATACATGAACATCAATAAAACAAAACAAAAGAATATCATTAAAAGGAAACGGAGTAAAGATTAATGTTGTATATTAAAATGGTAAGTAGCTTTGTTAAGGGAACATATTCTGATATTAAGGTAAGATTTCAAGTGAAAAAAGAAACTTCATAAAAGAAATGTTTAGATGGCGATAAAATAGAAACTTGTCCAATGCGTGAGACAGGGGTTCTATTGAGATAATATTTCATCTTGTCCCACACATTGGCTTAGATTCAATTTTATCACCATATGAACTTTTGTTTAATGAAATTATAAATGTTATGCCAAAAATTTATTTATTAATTTTATTAATATTAATCAATTCACACATATTTTGATTTGATTTTAAAATAAAAGATTGAATTTTCCATATACAGGGTGAGATAAAAAAACTGCAAAAATTCTAACGACATAATATTTACATTTTTTTTTAAATTTTATTGAATGAAAGCAAAAATGTCGGAAATAGCATCAAATTTTAGAATAAGTTTAGATTTGTTCGATTGGTCACCTTTGGCACGAATTATGGCCTTTAAACGGCCAATGAAATCGTGACACGCTGTCCGAATGTTGCCCTGTGGTATTTTGGCCCATTCCCGGCTAGTGCTTGCTTGAGGTGATCGACACTTTGGTATTTTTTAGTGCCAACCTTGCTTTCCAAAACACTCCAGACCCAATAGTCCAACGGTTGGTATCCGTATATTTTGGAGGCCATTGTGCGCTGGAAATGAAGTGAGGAACCTCATTTTGTAACCATTCTTGGGAGGGGCGTGCTGAGTCCTGTTGGAATGTCCAAGATCTGCGGCACAATTTTTGCGTGCCCAAGGCTTTAATACACCCTGCAGAATATTTTTGCGATAATATTCGGCATATATTCTGATGCCACGGTTTGATACGATTGATACGAGCGGAGAGCGACCATCGGCTTTTATGGCGGCCCGCACCATCACCATGGCCAGCGCTTGAGTTCTGTGGACCAACCGAAGATGCACATTTTCCTCTGACACGATAATTTGGTTTGTTTACAAAATGCTGGACAACGAATGTTTTCTCATCAAAAAAAACCAAATTCGGCAGTTCACCACTTTCGACCAAGGGAAGCAACTCTTTAGTTCTTTTGAGTCTATTTTCTTTCTCTTGCGGTGTAAGTTCTTGCACTTTTTGGAATTTCAATGGCTTTACCCCGAGCTCATGTTTCAATATTTGCCAAATGGAATATTGCGATACGTTCAGCTCACGAGCCATTTTTCGTCCACTGCGACATGGGTTTCAATCAAGTCGCTGCTTTACTTTTCGAACCATTTCTGCTGATGTAGCAGTTTTCTTCCGTCCACTTCCTTGACCTCGGGCTACGCTACCAGTACCACGGTAACGAGCGATGGTACGAGACAAAAAAGATAGATTCACATTTAAATGCTGCAGTGCTCTAACGATAGCCATTTGTGGTTTTCCAGCCAAATAATATAATAAATATAAATATAAAGAAATTACACTATCACGCTTGAATTCTATAACGAATAATTTTTTTTCTACCTTGACCTACTATCTGACTTTCTATTAAAAAAAGACTACACATTCGTTTTGTTTTTTTTTTTTTAATTCATATTCAAAAAATATAGAATTTATTTCGTTAGCTTTTTCTGCAATATATTTATGTGGTATGCAATCAAGCGCAAATTATATTTGCGTTTTTGAAATACACACTCTTATAAGGTTAAATATATATATTAGTTGTTAGTAAATTTTTATGTTCTACACTGTCCAAACACGTAGTTTCTAATTGGTGGAATCCCAATTAAAACCCATGGACAGCAGACAAAGTAATAAAATAATAAATTATACTTAAATATTCCATTTTTTTCTTGGTTAAAAAAATTTTGTATGTAAAAATATATAAATTTTGAAAAGAAAAGGATGCCATTCTTCTACATAAACTTTAGCCATACGAATGGCAAACGCATAAACGGGGTATGCTGTTGTACAGTATCACTTAAAAAGTTCCACAGCATTGAGGTTATTGAAGCATTATCAAATTTATGATTCACAGCTGCCGGTACAGGTTTCAATCCATTGTAATAGTTATTATCCGAATTGCCGTAGTTTTGAACGAAGAGAGGTGTTTGGAAATGCTCATCGATTTTGCTGGCCATTTCATGTTCACTAAGTTCCTCTTTGTAAGCAAACCAATAGCCAAGTTGCTGACGTTGAATATCATATTTGGCACATTTCTGGTGAACATTCAATTTGGCCATATACTGTTGTTGCGGTAGGGTCAGACGTGACTCGGTAGCAATTTCATTATGTTTCTGTCTCATTTGATTACGCAGGTCTTCTTCTCGATATTGTCTTTCAAGTTTGAGCAATTCAGCTTCAACATTTAAACCTAAATGTGTGGTATGATTGTGCTGCCGCATGCTGTTTGCCATGGATGCCGATGTGGTAGACGATGCTGATGTGGAACCGTTTGTCTTGATTATATCCGTGGCATTCAATAGATCATTATCAATATCATGAGTGGTTTTTGACGAACGATACAATGAAGTTCCCGGTATTTGTGCAGCCAAAAAGAATGCTCCAGCAATTGTCATAACACTGGCAGCATAACTGACAGCCATTATGGTTATATTATTGAGCAGAAATTTGGCTAGCGTAAACGAAGGTAACATTTGCATCAATTCGGAATAGGTAAGCCAACCGCGACGTAAACCTTCACGCCGAGCCAATTGCTTTTCTATGCAGGTAAGTTTTTCGAAAAACTGTTCGTTCGATATGTATATGTTCCATTCCTAGGGTGGGAGAGAAATGAGAACAATATTAAAATATATTTAAAAATAGTTGTTTTAATAGTATTTTAAACAAAGGCAAATATTTGGAAGAGCGTGGCAAAAATGCAAAACAAGTCATAAAATCTGGAGTACATTCGCTGGAATATTCCTGAATGTTATCGCCAAGAATACGGCCTGATATGTTAAAGATTTTTTATTAAAAGATTTACCTAACATTTGAAAATTAGAAAATATAACCTTATCATTTTTAAAGAAGGTAGCTCCATTTTTAGAAGAAACAACGCGCTTGCGCACAACGATGCCTTGAATGATAAACTTCTACTCATACATAGGAGGACGTATCTGTCTAAAATACGTTCTGGTAGACTGTATATTGGCCAGAATTCGGTTTCCATGAGACATAATTAAACGTCCTCCTCTTGGCAAAATATTCCTATGGCCCTTGTGAAGTTATACATGACGGGTCGACTCTTTTTCTATGTCGTGTAAGTAAAATACACATCGTGATTTTTTGTAGAAGTAAGTTGCATTCAAATAGGACCAGCTGTTCATTATAAGCACTTTCCTTTATCGTCAAAACATTGAGGTGAATTCAATATCAAGAAGCAGTAATGATTTTTTCTGTTCCATATCTTTACATCAACCAACTGCAGTGGTGTCCAGGAAGTTTTTATAAATATTTCGTTGTGAAAAACCAATTTCAAGCATTTTTTAGAATCTAACGACCTAAGATCTGCTCATACAATACATATTAAAAAGCGTTATATACTCGAAAACGTATTTTTAAATCAATCCATATCTATGCATTACGAAAGATTCTTGTAAGGATAGCAGGCATTTCTACTACATTTCATGTCTTGAAAATTGAAATATCATAAGTAGTCAGGTCAGAACTTTCTGAAAGGCTCCCTTACAGTAAACATATCTAAAACTTTGTATACAAATTATAATTTTAGTCTATATCTTCTTTAACATCCAATACTTACTATTGCGCATAAGAATTCCAATTCTAATTCCTTCAAACGATCCTCTGACATATTACCATCCTCAGCCCAATCAGATAGATAGATTTCCTCATCATGTCCAGCATAAAACTTTGTTGAAATCATCTACAAAAGACCAAAATTGTGTCATTAAAAATCAATACAATCTACATAGGCATATAGACATAGCAACAGGTGATAAGAGCATTCATAAGACAGACACACACACACACGCGATTGTCATTATCTCATTTAACCTGCTACTGTTTGAAAATTCTATCAATTACGCTTACCATCGAAACAATAAACAATTCTTGTGGTGTTATGCGTCGGACATAAGCAGGGTCTGTGGCATTTAAACGATCCAAATAGATAAGAGCCATAATCAATGCAGCCGGTGTTGCTGGTATAACACTGGAGGCCTCAACACAGGATAGACGATTTAACGTATGACCACGATGGGTGTCAGAAAATAGTTCAGAAGTTAGCTCAGCCAAGGGCTTGGAGACACCCATGCTTTCACATTCACTAAAATCCTGACCAAAATATAAAGATTTGCGTATACGTTGCATGAATTCATCGTGTGGCATAACCTATGGAGAAATAGACCCATTTAGATAACAACGCATTAGTACAATACATTATTGTTATTACCACAAGAATATTAATAAGGAGAAAAACTTTAATTAGTTTCACACATACCTTTTTTGTAGTGGTTTTTGTCTTTGTGGTCGCTGCTGCAGAGTTTTTAATGACGCATCCCTGTTTGCGCCCCATTGTTTTTATTTTTTTCTAGTGTGTGTGTGTGGGCTGATCCCTTAATCGAATGGTAAAGAGGAAATAAAAACTTTCAATAACAGCCTTATTTGATGTGCAAGCTTCCAAATAACTGGCACAACGACAATTGTATTACCTATTTTAAGATTTATTTACACAATCTCGTTATATTTTTAACAAAATCTACGCGAGCTGCGACACAAGAACAGCAACACGCGAAAGCTATTCTTGACACAATAGAAATTGATTACCGAGTAGCCGTTTGATGATGAATACTCGTGGCATTCATTGGTTGAGAAAATACAACCCTGTGACTGTCTCTACAACCGCCAAAAATTTTGAAATGCGAATACGGAAGTGAAGCTCAATGTTGTCAACAAAATAATAAATCACAAGTTTTCATGTATTAACCCAACATACCAAATTGACTTGAGAATACTATAATAATATATATATAAGCTTACATTGAGAAATGCTTGTTTAACAATTATAGAATAATCGAAACGGAACCCTTAGGGTGGAAATACATAAAGCGCTTATCTGGCTGGCTTAAGTCATCGGCTGGCTTCTTCGGAAATGAACAAAGGAGCCTAGGGCCAAAATCGAACTAGGTCAACCTAAAACTCCTTTGTTCATCTACAAAGAAGCCAGCCGATGACTTAAGCCAGCCAAATATGCGCTTTATGTATTTCCAGCCTTATTCATAAGCTTATTCTTGTAATTGCAGAATAAGCTTACGAAAGTAATATTATATCAAGCTTATTTTTTCAATGGTATAAAATATTTATTTTTCCATTTTTTAATTATTTTACACATTTCATTCATGGATCGCCATCCCAGCTGTCACTGCCTCTTGTTGCATTGATACCTAAATGCTTTCATTCCCCTTATTTGAGCTTCTGCATCTCCTCCACTAATTCTTCACTTCTCTTGAATTCTTGCAACTTTTTGACGCCTCTATTCTGAAATGAGATTGAAATAATGTATACTACAGATTCCCAGATTTATTATTCATCATTACCTTAGAGTTTCGTCCGGAAATGTATCCTAAATTCGCGTGATTTTGATTTCAAGCAAAGAAAATATTTTTTTGTCGACAATTTTGACAAAAAAAAAACAAATTTGTCAACAAAGGACAGATTTGAGAAAAGTTTGTGCAAAAAAAGTTTTTCTCTAGCATTGTTGAAGATTTCTTATGATAAACTATTTTCATAATATTATTCTCAAGCTGTATTGTATTTTTGGTATGTTGGGAATTGTCTAATACCAACTTTTGCTTATGCGACGCAGGCTTTTTGACAATTCAAAAATTATCTAAGAAAATTTTTATATATATTTATATATACATTTTTATATATAAATATATTTTTTTAAATGACAGTATTTCACCGTTTTTTAGAATTATTCAATTGGAACAAGGACAAAACCTCTTATTTTGGCAATTAATACATAATCTATATTGTCTTGGCATTTGTAAATGCAGGGTACGTGTATTGTATCAGAGTATTAGATCATGTTTTTCATGCAGTTAATTATGACAGGGCCAATTACAGAAAATAGTGAGCTAATATACCAAAGGTGACCTGTGCCAGAAAAAAATATTCATAAACCTCATAACGTCAATTTAATTTTATAACTCTTATTCTACCATATGTGTGCATTCTTTTGAATAATATAAAAATCATGTTAAAATAAGGGGGAAGAACATCTTTATTCAAAATTACATGCAAAAAGTTGTTCTCATTTAACTGATATTTTTACTCAGGTTTAAATGCATTTTAAATTTTTTTTTCAAAATCAAATTTTTATTTGAACAGAAAGGAAAATATTTAATTAAAAATTGATACCGTTTAAATAAAAAAAAGTTGATTAAGATAAAATGGATAATTGTTTGACTCCAGAATAACCAATGCAATTTGTAAGAAATTCACGCTGAAGTTGAATTACGGTACCATTTTTAGATATCGAGCCACTCCATAATTATCCCAAATCGGTAAAAATTATGTATGCCATAAAAAAATGCAAAAGAATGTTGGCCCGTATCTTTAAAGATGTTAAAAATATTGATATAATGCTGAAGATATAACAACGTTATGCCCCGACTTGAAGGTAAATTTGCAGGCAAAATTTAAGAAATCGGAAGTGTTTTAAAGAAATAAAAGAAGAATGAAACACATGTAGAAATCCCGAGGAAACTTCCAAAACTGAATTATTGTTGCTAATTTAAAGATGACTTCAAAACCAATAATTCCGGTGTTTTGCACACTTACACGATGCCAATACTTATCGAACGTTTGTCAAATCGCCAACAGTTGACATCTTCAGCAGGGACGTATTTAATAAATTTCCATAAGAATAGTTGTGAACATGTTTGTGAAAAGTATTTTTTAACACGATGTTCTCTAATTTAGTTTTTTTACTTCCGAAAAACAAACCAATATCGCTGTTTGTCACCATAATTACTTTTGACAGAAAGTGAGCACAGCCTTAAGGAGAGAATACATAAAACTATGGTACAATAAGGAGATAGAACAGTTTCGTAAAACTACAGAAATACAGCCCTGAGGCTATGCCCGCTTCCTGTAAAATTTGCATGCAAACAAGTTGTTTTTTAATTATTCAATGTTTTCCTCATTTTTGAAATCTGTTAAACTGCACGAAAAATGAATGAAATGCTTGGATTTTCTCTCAAAAATATGATCATAAATGTTCAATCTTTCAATTCCATGGTAAATCTGGTTAATATCATTAATGCGCGCCCCACAATTTAAGTTTCTTCCAATCATTGATTTTCAAAATATTTTGATTTTTATTTTTCAAAACAATAAATACATACACAAAATTTGCAGATGTCGGGCACATTTAAAAAAATGTAATAAAAATTATTATATATACAATCAATTGTTAATTTTGTTCATTTTTTTATTTGTTTTAATGTTTAATTTTAAATAAGACTTAAAATAAAGGATACTATAATTAATTTAGATTAGTCAAGTATAGAAGTTTTTGGAACCGTCCATAGCCCTATGGATTAGTTTCATGGTAGAAAAATACAGGTAGATGCATGCATCAAATTTTTGACAGTAAAACAAAGCACGAAACGTCCGTAAGCTGTTTAAACCAGTGCTGCCAAAAAAAAAGTTAAAAAATTTATTTTTATTATAAAATGCAAATCGGACGTTGTTGAAATATATAGAACAGAATGATTATTTATATGCGAAACACCACTTGCCTACAAGTCTTACTAGATCTTTAAGTACGCGAACTGCTTTCTATTAGCTCTAGATCGGAGCTTTTAATTCGTTGATGCACAGAAAGGGGAAAAGGTGGTTCTTCTAGACAACATTACTTAGTCAAATATAAAATAACAGCGATTTCAGTACTTCAGTAGATTAAAATGGTTCCAACAACAAGTATATCCATGAAATATCATAACTAACATATCGTTTTTGGATAAAATTTTATTATTAATTTGCATTTAGTGCTCTGCTAAATAAATTAAATGGGCAGATGCCCATTACAATAAAATAATACACATTGTGGCTTTAATCTTCCTGATATTTATAGCATGATGTATTTAAAATGATTATCAAATTTACATTGCAATAATAACAAACCACTAACAAAATTTAATTTATAGTATTTTGTAAAATAATTCAATAATCGTCGAAATGCAAAATACAACTCTGCATGATAGAAAGTGACATTTCGTCTTTCCTCTATTTTTGTGCGTTTGACAGCTGTCATTTCTCTGCCCATTTCCGTTTCTTTCTACTGACAACAACGCCAAGATGAAGTACGTATTTTTGTTCTGTTTTTTGTGAGAAAATAAAAATAATTGTGAAATATTAAAAACATCCGATGATGTTGAACAAAAATAGACAACGAATTATTTTTAAAATCTCATACAACAATGGATAATATTGTAATTTTGTGGCTGACATAAAATGCTAATGGATGAAATGTATTTTTGAAAATTTTTCCAGAATCGGTTTGTGTTCATTCAGTGGGTACAAAATCTACCCCGGTCATGGCAAGACCATGGTCAAAGTTGATGGCAAGGTGAGTTTCATAAAATAAATTAATTGTTGTGGCAGTGGAAATTAATTTTCTCCTTTGTTTTCTCCCCCCTTTAGACCTTCACTTTCTTGGACAAGAAGTGCGAACGCTCTTACTTGATGAAGCGTAATCCCCGTAAGGTTACCTGGACTGTCTTGTACCGTCGCAAGCACCGTAAGGGTGTTGAAGAAGAAGCCACCAAGAAGCGTACCCGCAGAACACAAAAGTTCCAACGCGCTATTGTCGGTGCTTCCTTGGCCGAAATCATGGCTAAGCGTAACATGAAACCTGAGGTTCGTCGTGCCCAACGTGAACAGGCCATCAAGGCTGCCAAGGATCAAAAACGCGCCACCAAGGCCGCCAAGAAGGCTACCCAGCCCGCCCCAACCAAAGCCAAGGCTGCTCCCAAACAAAAAGCCGCTAAGGTTACACAAAAGGCTGCTCCCCGTGTAGGTGGAAAGCGGTAAATCGTTCGAGCCATTCAATAGTGGCCTGAAGGAAGTGAAGTGTTTTTAAAATTAAGGTGTTTATTTTTAAAAAATAACAAACCGCAAAACCAGGAAGTTTACGGAAATGAAAAGAAATTAATGACAAAAAAATAAAATCTATTACGGGTGTTCAAATCCGTATGGAGTTACAAAAAAAAAAAACACGCAATGAAATTTTGTTTTGATTTGTTTAATGGCGAGCAATAATCAGTGATTGTGGTGATAAAGAATTGGAAATGAGTGAGTTAATAGTTTGGCAAGTTAGTTTTGATGAAGTGGTACATACTGGTGGAAATTATATGAAAATCAAACAGGTTGAAAAGGGAGTAGCACATTGTATTAAAGAAATATTTGCAGTGATTACCGGCACCTTTCCCGCTTGGAGTAGAAATAGATCTTAGCTTTGTTTTACTTTTACATAACGAGTATATTTTAAAAAATAATGAGAAAATATCGAGACCACACCTGTTTATAAATTAGGCTAGTCCCGGTCTGAATTAACTTGAAGCTTATTTCAACTAGTGGTTCTTATGGGACTGATTTAAATGGAATTTCAATAGATAGTATAGTTTTATGCACCTGTTTATATATGTCGACAGAAAATGAATAGCATAGGTTCATATGCGTATGGAAAAGCACTCAACTCAATTAAAGTACGATACAAATCTTTACTCCGGTAGAGGATGACATCGAATGTTGGATCGCGCAAAATGTCTATAAGGTTCATGCTGCTAAATACAGGGTGAGATAAAAAAGTGCAACAAAGTCAAACGCCATAATTTTAAAATTTTATTGAATGAAAGCAACAAATTTCGGAAATAGCATCAACTTTTAGAATAAAATTGGGTATGTTCGAATTGGTCTCCTTTAACACGAATTATGGCCTTCAAACGGCCAATGAAACCGTCACACGCTGCCCGAATGTTGCTCTGCGGTATTTTGGTCCATTCCCGGCGAAGCGCTTGCTTGAGGTAATCGACACTTTGGTACTTTTTAGTGCCAGCCTTGCTTTCCAAAATACTCCAGACACAATAGTCCAACGGATTGGTATCCGGAGATTTTGGTGGCCATTTTGCACTGAAAATGAAGAGGGATCCTCATTTTGTAACCATTCTTGAGTGGCTCGTGCTGAGTGCGATGGTGCTGAGTCCTGTTGGAGAGTCCAAGGTCTGCGGCCAAAATGTTTGCGTGCCCAAGGCTTTAAAACATCCTCCAGAATATTTTCGCAATAATATTCGCATTTATTCTAATGCCACGGTCGATCAATAAGAGCGAAGAGCGACCATCGGCTGCTATGGGGGGTCCACACCATCACCATGGCCGGCGCTTGAGTTCTGGTGGCCAACCGAAGATGCACATTTTCAGCTGACCTCTTTGGCAAAAAAAAACACGATCACTTTGTTTACAAACTGCTGGACAACGAAAGTTTTCTCAACGGAGAAAACCAAATTCGGCAGTACACCAATTTCGACCAAGCGTAGCAACTCTTTAGCTCTTTTGAGTTTATTTTCTTTCGGTTGCGGTATAAGTTCTTGCACTTTTCAATCTCAATGGCTTTACCCCGAGCTCATTTTTCAATGTTTGCCGAATGGAATATTGCGATATGTTCAGCTCACCAGCCATTTTTCGGCCACTGCGACGCGGGTTTCGATCAACCCGCTTCTTTACTTTTCGAACCATTTCTGCTGATGTTGCAGTTTTCTTCCGTCCACTTCCTTGACGTCGGGAACACAAAAGACACAAAAGTTTTATTCACATTTAAATGCTGGAGTGCTCTTACGATAGCCACTTGTGGTCTTCCAGCCCCATATAAAGAAATCACACTATCACGCTTGAATTCCATCAGGAATAACTTTTATGTCTGGAAAATTCTCATCCAAATGCTTTTGTACGCTTGTAAACAATATAATGAGCTGTCATTGAAATAATTTTAACAGCTGTCGGACGGGTGGCTTACAAATGACAGCAGTCTGAAGTTGGTTGCACTTTTTTCATCTCACCCTGCATGTTGCGAACACATACCAACCTTGTGTACAATCTGAGTTATAACACCGCTTATAACTTTTATAAACATATACCCTGATTCCAAGCAGAGACTGATAAATTAAGTCGGTTTGCATACGTATATTCTGTCCATACACCGAAGCCTATTTTGAAGTATTTAATTCGGTCATTTTAAAAAATTTATAGGAGTATTTCAAACTAAACACAACATATTGAAACGACTATACACATGGCTCAAAGGATTCTCAAAATCTTTAAGTCATCCAGGAGCGGCAGATATAAAGTAACGAAACTGTATCCAATACTTCTGTACTATAAGGGAAATCATCTTCGATTTTACCCAATTTCAAAAAGGTCCTTTCAAATGATTGACAACACCTGATCTTCAATCTCCCATTGACTACTTACATATGTCGGTATCAAGTGAAAACTACGAATACTTACAACGAATTTTCAAATTTGTTTTAAGGAGGGCAGTACTGTAAGTGTTACAATCGAATTTGGGTATCCCTTCAAAACAAATAATTCTCTTGCTCGCTGCATAAGATAATGACTACGAGTTCTTAATAGAATATGTTATTTGCATGGTAGATGTTTTTATTTCTTATTATTTTCCAAATAAATTTCAATACAACATTTTTCAAATGGGAATGAATTACGCATTAAAATATGAAAAATAGGAAGACGACCAATATATAAAAAACTTGTTCTTTTTTAACAATATTTGAGATATACACAATAACACTGAATTGTTTTGAGATTTATGTTGTGAGATTATCGTGATATAGGTAGACGGTAGGAGGGTACAAAAGCATTATAGGAATGAATAGCGTATAAAAATATAAAAAATATATAGGTATGAACATTGTAGAAAAAAGTGTCACAGTTTTTTGTTTGTTATCATAATATTATAAATTCAAAATAGGTAAATGTTTTGAGTTCAATACTACAACTCTTCATGCTGTTCTGCGGATTTTGATTTAGGCACAGCTGATTCGTTGGCTTTGTTCATAAATGCAATAAAGTCTTCACGTTTACGGCCGCCATTATATTCCTGTTTAGTTTTTAAATATGAGAAATACTTGAAGGTTGGATAACCACGGACTTCATGCTGTGAGCATACAGCAGTTTCCCGTGTGCAATCGACAGCTGCCAAAATTAGGCGAGAATCGTCTTTTAAGGCTTTGGCAGCTGCATTAAATTCTGGTTTTGTACTTTTACAATGACCACACCCTGAATGAGATAGGAATTGTTATAAAAATCACAAAAAAATATGCGAATAATGTTATCAACTTACATGGTGCATAAAACATTACCAATGCATGCTTCTTTCGTTTCAAAGTCGTCGAAAAATTGTCATCCTTTAAAAATACAACCTCGGTATCTTCTTCCTCCTCCCAATTCTTTTCGGGCGGTGGTGGTGGTGGCGGTTCTTTGGGATCTTTCATAAACTCCACAATCTTATCGGCATCCCGAACATTGACATCAAATTTAAATTGACCATTGACAAAGTATTTCACCGTTGGATAACCTTTGACACCATATTGCTCAGCAATGGCAGATTCCTTTGTGGCATCTAATGCTGCCAGCACGCCGGGGATGTTTTTCTGTTTCATGTCCACGGCCGCTTTTTCATACTCCGGTTTCATGCGTTTGCAGTGACCACACCCTTAAAGGAAAATAATAATAATAATAATATGTTAGTTTTAGTTGAATCAGGTAGTCGCATCGCAACTGTCAAACCGATTTTGAAATTGAAAATCGTGAATGAAAAATTATTGAAATTTGTAAAAAATGTTGAAAAATACATATCATTACAACGATTTGCGTCGTATAAGAAAGCATATAAAAATCTACTTTTTTTGACTAAACACTTTAAAAATGTTGACATATCAATGTTCCCAAGCGTTGATGCATCTTCCAATATTCTTCTACCATGACTGGAACATTGCCAATTGCCACTATTATTATCGCTTAGCTTAAATTCCGGCTATCTTATACTTACATGGAGCATAAAACATCACCAATACGGATTTTTCATCTTTTAAGGCTGGTTCAAAGCTTTGCTTTGTTAGATGAACAATTTCCGAGTTGGTGTCAGCAGACCAGTCTGCATCCTTGGGTTTTTTGATCAAAACCGACGTGGGATCTCGCATAAAGGACACAATACCATCCTTATTGTTGTCACCCTCGTAGATTTGCTTCAGTTTTCCATTTTCAAAGTATATAATTGTCGGGAAACCTATAGAAGATGGAATTATTATTAGTAACTAATTTAAAATTTTGGTATCCCTTCTAGATTATCAATACTTTTTATTGTTGGGTGTTTGGTACTCGTTTCAGATTTTAAATAGAAGTAGGATATTTTGTTAAAGCAAAATAGTTAGGCTTAATCCCATAATTATTTTTTTAACAACGTTTATTAGCGGAGAAAGATGGTAATGTTTACCAGGGGTAAGGCAGATTCCTCTTCTATTGAGCTTACGATCTCGTCACTTGGATAAACAACGTTTTAGTCATTGTAGTTATTTTAAAACATCTCTTGGGGACAATATTCCCAGACAAAAATCAAGGGGACTGATGAGGATTGTTGGCCCTTGGTAAGTTTTAGCATCTTGAGAGAGAATGTCCCCAGACAAAAACCAAGGGAACTGGCGAGTGTTGGTGGCTCTTTCCGGTACCAGTGTATTCCCTGCCTTACCCCTGGTGAATTTTAGCATCTTTCTTTACTAATAAATAGACTTTGTTTTAAAAAAACAACAATTAAGGGAATAAGTCTAACCATTTCCAGCAACAAAAGTAACTACGGTATCCCTAACAAAAATGCCAACACTGTTCTAAAAATAGAATAAATAACACGATGCTACTTCCTATTCACCTGTTATATTGTACGCCCTTCTTGCCAATGCATTTTCCTGCCTCTCCACATCCATTCCCGCTAGGACATATCCTTCTGCTTTAAGTTCCGTTGCTGCCTTAGAGTAATCCGGTTTCAGTCGTTTACAAAAACCACACCACGGAACATAGAACATAACCAACATGGGACGCATATCCTTTTTCAAATGTTTCAGAAATGAGGCATAATCGCCAAAATGTATTACATCCTTGCCAGCAGGATCTTCTTCCCATGGCAGATCTCCAGCTGGGTCACGCATAAAATTCACCATTGATGACACAGCCATTTTGCGATCATAATCCTTATGGTAATCACCATCTTTATAGTGTTTCAATGTAACCGGGTCTGGGTTAACTTTTAGTTTTTTACACAATTTCTTTTTGTCAGCGTTTGAGCAATCCATTAACACCATTGTACCCGTTCCCTTCACAATACCCGCTGTCTCCTTGAAAACTTTGATATGATCGGCTGATTGCTTAACATTGCTTGTGTACAAGACCAAAACGTTGGTTTTGGTGCGCAACAGTTTCTTAAAATCTTTGTATTCCACAATGTCGTCGATGATGGCATTGTTTTTGCTGTTGATTTTGCCAATTGCCGGTTTTATTAGGTGGGCGGCATATATACTTAAAAACTGAAATGCAAAGTATTATAATAACTATTCCAATTTTATAATAAAAAATTTTTAAAAAAAAACATTCAGACTTACTACAACAATGAATCGTGTTAATAACATTTTTCTATACAAAACATTTTCCTAAAGAAATTGATCTATGGAACAAATTATTTTCTAATTCCAATACAAAATTGACTTGACTACATACGTTGTCAATGAACGGATTGTATTCACTTGTAGGAACTGATTACCGGTTACTTGAACAAGGCAGGGAACTTTCTGTAACATTCACCCTATATAGTGCAGGGTATATTAAGTTTTTCATTCTGTTTGTCTGTCCCATAAAACCCAATTTAGTTTGCCGTAAAATTTCCCATTTGTTTTCTGACTTTGTAACATCCAATCCAAAAAAAAAAAAAACGGTTGACCAAATTTTAAAAACACAACACTCTGGAGCCAAATCAAATTTTCTTTTTTTTCGAATGATCGTTTTTTTTTTAATTAAACCATGGTGCAATTAAATAGTTACTCTCATGCAATCACATATTACGAATCTTTAATTTAATGTCCCCTCATTTCCGTTCAAAAACTATTTAAATCAGAAAAATGTCGAATATAGAGGGTTAGAGTTATATATTGTTACCTATACAAAGACATGGACCTGTATTTTTACTTTTTACATTACGAACTTGCAATATAAAATTTTTAATAATAGATAGATAAAGTCACCAAAATAATAAAAATATCGAAAATAAGGAGGTTACATGGGGTCTATATCATTATATTGACAATTATATGCAATGATGTTTCTTACACAATGGGAGCCCATTCTGCCAATTTACAGCAAATTCGGTTTCAAATTTGTGACTAAAACATCCAAAAATATTAAATCTGTCGGAACAGTTATAGGGGGGCTATACCAAAACGTGGAGCAATACAACCCAATACCAATACTAAAAGTCCTGCCGACCTAACACACTTCTGAGTAAAATTTTATCAACCTACCTAATTTCGTTAGGAAGTTAGAGTGCTTTTCGCAGACGGGCAGACAAATGGACGGACATTGCTAAGATAACGACATAGAATTTTATGCTGATAAAGAATATATATACTTGTGGAGTCTAAAATTTATATTTCGAGGTGTTACAAATGGAATGACGCACTTAATATACTGTTACGTTCTTGGATTTTACTTAATCCCGTGTAGACGTTGTTTTATTTCCCAATACAGCTCGTACCAAATAAAACGCGGGTTCTTTCGGATTACGATTATTACAATGATTTTATTCACACAACTTTACTTTGCACTTTACTTTACTCGACGGTTTCAATTCGCGATCTGATTCACAACTAACTAACTGCCTTTCCATTTCCCCTATTTATATGAGCCTCGCCTGTCGCTACAGAAGTTTCTAGACGATCTGGTAACGCCTAGATTACGAACAATCTACCAATGCAACGAACACATACAAACTTACATTGAGTGAACAATAACAACAACACATACACAGGCGAGGGGGTAACAAAGAAAGAGGAATTAAGCGATCATCAATGATGACGTTTAACAAGAATTGTACGTCAGCAACAAAATAGAAAATGAAAGAGGAAATGGAAGGGTGTAGAAAAATCTATACAGTAGTTGTTGTTGTGAAGTTATTCAAATAAACTGCGTAGTAGAAATTTACGTTACAATTCAAATTCTTAAATTAACGGAATTCATCTAAATTAACTTAAATCTAAAGTTATATTCGTAACATTGCCCCCCGCTTAAGCCTGTTCGTCCCGAATAGGCACAGTTCCCGTTCCGTAGGGGGTCAGCCGCTCCAAATGTACAACTTTCATCTTCGACCTGGGACTGTCGCTCCTCTGGATGCGATAAACGACGTCATTTATTTTCGTGACAATCTTGTAGGGTCCTTCCCAGTGCGTTTGTAATTTGGGGCATAGTCCTTTCTTTCGTTGTGGGTTGAACAATAGTACCAGTTGCCCTTCTTTAAACCCATCGGTATTTGCCGCTCGATCGTACCTTGCCTTCATGCGGTTGCTAACAATTTTTATTCGATGTCGGACTGCATCGTGGACTTTACTAAAATAGTTTTGACTGTCTTCATCTTGGTTCACATCGTCGTTTGGGGTAGCACCGAATATCAAATCGCCAGGTAGCTTTAATTCATTTCCGAACAGAACTTTGGCTGGGGTCCGGGATGTGGAATCATGAATGGCCGATCTATAAGCCAGTAAAAACTTGGGAATATACTCATCCCAGTCTCGTTGGCCACTGTCCACCACTTTCCGTAGATGTTCTTCCAGGGTGCGATTGAATCTTTCCACCATGCCATCTGATTGTGGATGTAGGGGCGTCGTTCTGGTTTTCTTGATTCCGTAGGAGTCACACATTTCCTTGAAGATCGCTGATTCAAAATTCCTCCCTTGATCGGAATGAACCTCAGATGGAACACCATAGCGACAAATCCAATTTCTGCTGAACACATCCACAATTGTCCTGGCTTCTTGATTTGGGATAGCATAAACCTCTGGCCATTTACTGAAGTAATCCATGACCACTAAGACATACCGGTTCCCAGAGTCGCTTGTTGGGAACGGTCCAGCTACATCCATTGCGATTCTTTCAAAAGGGGCTCCTGAATTATACTGCTGCATGTAGCCTCGACTCTTCCGTGTTGGACCTTTAGCTCTTATGCACCTTTCACAATTGGCGATCCAGTCGGCAATGGATTTTTGACAGCCGACCCAGTAGAATCTCTGCTTTACCTTTTCAGCGGTTTTTGCTATGCCAAGATGTCCTCCACTTGGCCCATCGTGAAACTCCGACAAGACATCTCTTATTTTGGAGTCTGGGACGACGATCAAGTTCCGGTGAGATTTACCGTCCTCACTTTCCCATTTGCGATATAGGCAACCATCTATTATAAGTAGACTGTCCCACTGGGCCCAATAGGATTTTAAAAGAGGGCTTTCGGAGGTAATTTCTTTGCGACTAGGTCGTTTGCCCGTTTCTATGGCCGAAATTACTTTGCCCAGAATGGGATCTCTTCGTTGTTCCGTCGACCAATCTTCACCCGACTCAAATTGCAATAGTCGGACATCAACGATATTCTCTTTATTCTCAGCCTTTGAGCAGTGCTTGCATTCTACTTTGCATGGCCGACGAGACAGGGCATCAGCATTACCGTGTTTTCCGCCTTTTCTGTGCTCGATTCTGAAGTCATAACTCTGGAGCCTCTCGATCCAACGGGCTAGTTGACCTTCCGGATTCTTAAACTGCAGCAACCATTGGAGAGCAGCGTGGTCGGTCCTCAGCAGGAAATGCTGGCCATATAGGTATTTGTGGAATGTTTAAGGCACTCAAGGACAGCAAGCAGCTCTCTCCTCGTCACACAGTAATTCCTCTCAGGTTTCGACAATGTCCGGCTGTAGTACCCGATGACTTTTTCCTGTCCGTCGATTTCCTGGGAAAGGACGCCACCGATGCCGCACGCACTTGCGTCTGTGTCCAGGACAAACTTGCCGCCAGGTATAGGGTATGCCAAAATGGGGGCTCTGCATAGCATGTCTTTGAGCTTTCTGAATGCCTCCTCCTGGTCGTTGCCCCACTGAAACCTCTGGCCTTTTTGCGTCAAACGGTGTAGACAGGCGGCGATGTTGGCAAAATTTTGGACGAATCGACGGTAGTATGTGCAGAGACCCAGAAAGCTTCGCAGCTCATGGAGATTTCGGGGCTGCGGCCAATCTCTGACGGCTTGAATTTTCTCCTTATCCGTCGATATGCCCTCCGGCGTCACGTGGTGCCCCAGGAACTTCACCTCTCGTTGGAAGAGACTGCACTTCTTTGGGTTCAGCTTGAGGCCTGAAGACGAAAGCTGCTGTAGAACATCCTTTAAGTTCTTGATGTGTTCGTCGAAGATGCGTCCCATGACTATGATGTCATCCAGGTATATGAGGCACGACTTCCACTGCAGCCCTTTTAACACACGCTCCATCAGCCTTTCAAATGTAGCCGGGGCGTTGCAGAGTCCGAATGGCATGACATTGAACTGCCAGAGACCCCCATTTACGCCAAACGCTGTTTTCTCCTTATCTTTCTCGGCGATCTCTACTTGCCAGTACCCACTCTGCAGGTCGAGGGTGGAGAACCATGACGTCACGGCTAATGTGTCCAATGTGTCGTCGATTCTTGGGAGCGGATAGCTGTCTTTCTTGGTGACATCATTCAACTTTCTGTAGTCCACACAAAATCGGGTGCTTCCGTCTTTCTTCTTGACCAAGACCACTGGGGAGCACCATGGACTTGACGATGGTTCTATTACACCACTCTTTTCCATTTCACTTATCAGCTTCTGAACCTCGTCTCTTCTTGCCAGGGGAACACTTCTTGGAGGCTGTTTAATGGGTCTCGCGTCTGCTGTATTGATTTCATGCTTCACCACTGATGTTCTTCCTTGGTGCTCTTTTGTCAACGCAAAGGTAGAGGCATATTTCCATAGTAGCTGCTTAGCCTTGTTCCTCTCGGAAGGTGATAATTGGTGTGTCCACTCTTTTATGTAGCCGTCGAGGTGCTTCTTCTCCATGGTAGCTGGCTTTTCGGTGCTAGTTTCCAAATTAACTACAGCTTCAGCTGGTGTGCATTGTCCAACATCGGAAAATTGGCAAATTTGCTCTTGCTTGTTCGACAGGTTCAAAACTCTAACAGGAATTAATCCGTCCTTGTTGCTTTTCACCAGGGCATTCGCTATTAGGATGTTACTGTTTCTGTTTTCTGCTGGTTCCACCACCCACAACTTCTCGGCTCCACAATCTCCATTCATTGGTACCCATATTATTGCTTCGGCACAGGGCGGTATTATCTCTGGATGGTCCGTGGTCAGACGTCTAATGGGTGTACTTTCATCGTAGCCCACGTTTAACGGAATTTCGACGTTAGACCAGGTCATCACACGTTCTTTCATATCCAGATTGATACCAAAGGCAATCATAAAATCTGCGCCTATTATCACTTCGTCTACGATATCGGCAACTATAAACTCGTAATTCTCCGATTTATTGGCAATAGTTAGTCTCAGGGTAATCTTGCCGTGTACTGCCGCGGGCTCCCCCGTTGCTGCGCGCAGTCTGACTCCATTAAGTTGCGTTATTTTTCCCTTTACCAGATCTGATCTTACGATGGACTTTGATGCGCCAGTATCTAACGTCAGAACTCGCTTATCACCATTGATGTACCCAGTTGTTGTTAGGTTGTGACTTTCCTGTTGTACTATTGCTATGGAGATTGTGGGGCCATCGTCGATGGGAGCCAGTTCATGCCCCGCTGAACTGGCTCGATTTAGTTTAACTGTGACTCATTGGTGGACTGTTGGGCCATTCTTCTACCATCTTTCGTTGGAGGTGGTGACGATGACCTGGATCGTTTGCGCTTAGCTCTGCATTCGCGCGCAATATGACCTGCTTTATCGCAGTTGTAGCATCTAACCCTGGGCTTAGTCATCCCAACTAACTTTGTCTCTTCTATTACCCGCCTCATGGCGTCTTCGATCGAGTTAACGAGAGATTTGGGTTCGCAACCTTCGGTCTCCAGTTGGCGAATCTTGTGGGTCTGGGGCTTAACAACTATTCTTGCCGTCTCTTGGGCAAGGGCAAACGACACAGTTTCGGAAAATGATGCTTTTGGTGACGCATATGTTGCATACTTAATCTCAGGGTCACGTATGCCATTCACAAAGGTTTCGATTTTCATACGGTCCAGCAATGGGTGATCCTCTCCTGGATACGTCATTAGCACCAAACGTTCCACCTCAGCTGCAAAGTCTTGTAACGTCTCGTTTGCCCTCTGTACTCTTCCCCTTAATTCCATAAGGTAGATGTTTCGTTTATGTTCGCCACCGTACTTACGTTCCAGTGCAGCAATAACATCTTCATAGTTGTTTCTAGAAGCGACAGGAATACTCTGTATAACATCAGCAGCACTGCCCTTCAATGCCAGAAGTAGTGCAACCGCTTTGTCGCTGTCGTTCCACGAATTTCTAGAAGCCACTATCTCGAACTGTAACTTGAAAACATTGAATGACGTAGAGCCGTCGAATACAGGAGGTTTGATTTTTAGTGTGTTATCAGGAACTCGCACCGGACCACCTTTGATTTCCAGTTCCGAAATGTTCTTCTCCAGATTTGTAACCCTATGGTCGTGGGACAGAAATTTCTCGTCAACCGACTGCACTTTCTTATCCAACTCTTTAATTTGGACCTCCACGGTTTCCATTCTCCTTCCAATAACTTCTGTAATGTACTCGAGTTTCTCGTTCGTTATTCTCGAATTTTCTTCGACTCTTCTGAAATTTTCCTCAAACATTTTGGCTAGCATTTCTCTGAAATCGTCACCCCTGGCAGCTACTGACGAGACTTCCCCACCGTTGGATTCGCCCATTTCCGATAAATCCACTTCATCCTTACTGTCAAACTCATATGTATCGATGTTCATACCACGGCGCTCGAACTCATCCAACAGACGTTTTTGTAGTTCAGCCTTGTTGCCAGTAGAGGACAATTCCAATTTATTAAGTTCCTTCTTCAAGTCTTCCACTCGTAGATCCTTAAACTTCATCGTAGTATTATCGTAATCTCACTTCCGACACCAATTGTTACGTTCTTGGATTTTACTTAATCCCGTGTAGACGTTGTTTTATTTCCCAATACAGCTCGTACCAAATAAAACGCGGGTTCTTTCGGATTACGATTATTACAATGATTTTATTCACACAACTTTACTTTGCACTTTACTTTACTCGACGGTTTCAATTCGCGATCTGATTCACAACTAACTAACTGCCTTTCCATTTCCCCTATTTATATGAGCCTCGCCTGTCGCTACAGAAGTTTCTAGACGATCTGGTAACGCCTAGATTACGAACAATCTACCAATGCAACGAACACATACAAACTTACATTGAGTGAACAATAACAACAACACATACACAGGCGAGGGGGTAACAAAGAAAGAGGAATTAAGCGATCATCAATGATGACGTTTAACAAGAATTGTACGTCAGCAACAAAATAGAAAATGAAAGAGGAAATGGAAGGGTGTAGAAAAATCTATACAGTAGTTGTTGTTGTGAAGTTATTCAAATAAACTGCGTAGTAGAAATTTACGTTACAATTCAAATTCTTAAATTAACGGAATTCATCTAAATTAACTTAAATCTAAAGTTATATTCGTAACAATACCCTCCATACCATGGTACAACAAAAAGGTAAGTTAGCGTTACCAGCTGATTAAGAAAAACTGAGCTATTCGTAAGAATAAAGGTGAGAATGCATAAAACAAAGAAGTTTTAGGTTGACTTAGTTCGATTTTGGACCTACGCTCCTTTGTTTCTTTTTCCCGAAGAAGTTGGTCGATGACTTAAGTAAGTCAAAAAAAGCCTATTATGTACTTTCACCTTAGTTTCAACAATTCATTTCTGAGACTTTGCAAAATATTTCTGGACAAATTTCTTCGTGCAATTAGTTGCACATCTTCTTCTTCATCATCGTTCGGTGAGTTATTTTTGTGCAAAACATTTTATAATCTGACATTAATATGCCATGTCATGATTCCAAGCAAGCGTGGTAGAAGAATTCATGTAGATGTGTCAACGCTTATAAATATTGATACGTCAACTATAATTAAAGGTTTATGCAAAAATAAATTAAATAAATAAACATCATACAATGGTATGTGGTTTACAACATTTTTTACTAATTCCATTAATTTATCTTATAAAAATTGAAAAAAGCTAATATTTTTGGTTTCCATATAAAGACTTCCAACAACTCAAGGTTTCGTAGAACGAAGATCAAAACGATTGAATTCTTGAACGCTTAAACTTGACATTTCATTTGGCAAATAGCTTTAAAACGTATTTTAAATTTTTATTATATTTATCCCAATAACTAATAAAAAACTATTGATTTAGAGTAATCGAGTTTAATTGCTGCAATTTTTATCGTACCTCTCGTATTTACGCAATTTTTTCGACAATTTTCGTTTTTCATCATGGCATTTCTGTCGTTTTTATTTTTTTTTCTGTATTTGTATAAAGGGACGATTGGAATAACCAGAAAATGTCTAGTACGAGTATTTTTCCATTCCCGTGACCCTCTCTCCAACAAACAGAGAATTGCGGTAGGAAAACTTTCTCAACATAAATTCGGATTAAGAAAATTATAAAATGTTATGGTTTTTGTATTTTCGTAAACTCAAAAGAAACTATTCATGACAATTTCATCATAATATTCGGCGATAGAACTGTACCAAATAGCTGATTTTAATTTAATTCCTTGTTTCGTGCATAGAAACAAAATTATCTTACAATAAATCGTTAAATGCGAACCCCTGCAATTTACAATGGTGTGGCCACACTAACAACCCTAATACAACTCAGGGACGACTCCATTTTTTTAATTTTTCTGTTTTCTCTTTTCTCTCCTTCTCCCTCTCACCCATACATTTTTCTGTTCAACGCCGTTTGGCTTTGGCATTTGAAAACAACTGAAATTTCATACATTACAAACACAAGCGCATTTTTTTGACTCGAAGAATAAAACATTTGCCTTGTTATGATATTTTCTAACGCTACAATAAGATAAAAAAAAAATTGAGGAAATATTACAATATATAAATTAGTGATAAGTGAAATAATATCGAATAATCAAGTACAGTTCCTCGAAGAAGTTAAATTAAATTAATTTTCGTTAAAACAAAACAAAAAGGAAAACACACACAGAAAACAGCAGAGGTAAGAAATGGTAAAAACACAAACTGAAGTGCAGTGACGTTTGACTGTGTAACGAACGAAGAAATCAAACAAAAAGAGACGCGCGCGACGGGTTGTGCAGGGAGCAATTTCAAAGCAATAGCAAATTCATGGTAAATGATGCCAATAGATGACACAAATGAAGTAATTATCTATTCGAAATGTATGATTTTAGGTGAATATGACACCAGCCCACACAGACTCACCGCTGAGACGTTCGGAGGCGGGAGTCTTGCGAGATGGCCAGGGACCAAATGTCACCATCAACGATGACGAGGAGGAGCGTAGACAGGCCCGCCGACGTACAATGCTGTCCACGGGTGGATCAGATGCAGCGTGTATGGAAGAGAATGAAACGCTTAAAAAATGCCTGGAAATATACAATGGCAACAAATTGAGCAAGGAGAATGCATGGTCAGTGTCTCTGATTGATACATTGTCAACATTGCTGAACAGACATCATAAATCCATGAATAATTTTAAGGTGAGTGATAAAGGTATAAACAAAGCAAATACGCACATACACACACACACTCGCACTCACGTGTGTTGTGTGTGTGCTGCTTTCCTATAGGATAAAAGGACTATTGTGAAATGTTTTGTTTATGTTTGGTGACTGTATCAACCAAGTACAACCAACTAAAATAATGTTATTTCTTTGTATCGACATGCTTACTTTTAGGTTGCTGGTTCTTCTCTGGAAGCATCCTCTAAAGTCTACAGTCTCCGTGTTGATTCAATCCACACCGATGTGCTGCGTATGTCTGCCGGTTTAAATGCCCAAAAGTTCAATGAAAAGCAATTACAAAACGATGATGATGACGAGGATGATGTGGCCACCGGAGGTGAAGGTGGCAATGATCCGAATGCCAGTGCAGCGGGCGTAGATGGTGCCGAAAAACAACAGCCACAAAAGAAACAAAAGAAGAAACGCAATCTAGTTTCAACCATAACCAAGAACAAAGACACAATCAATGCCCGTCTCGACACAGTACCGCTGCAGGATCCCGTTTTTGGCAAATTAAATTCCATTGTGGGCTCTATCAACTCCTCCAATCGTCTTATGAACAACATCCTATTAACCACAGAGTCCGAGCTGAGACTGAGAACAACATTTGCCATTTGGGATTCAACATCAGTGCCGGTTTGTGATTATACGGAAGAGGTTCCATTGAGTACGGAAAATGAAGGAGATTTGGCGGGTTGTGATCGGCTCTTTAAAATTTCCAATATGAACGATATGCAGCTGCGTCCCATGCATGGTGGCTATGTTATATCAGATACACCAGAAGCCACAAACGATGACAAAGATAACGAGGTGAGACGCATGAGTGTGGATTCCGATGATGATGGACCGCCGGGCTGTTCAGATGGTGGCGGTGGTTGTGGCAGTGATATCTTTGCACCATTTCAAAATGCCAACGAATTGGGTATGGCATTTGATATGAATGCTGAATGTGAACCAGTGCCTGCCTCAAGCGAACATGTACCAATAATGGATGTTGATTATGAGGAATTGGATGATGATTTGACAGTGGGTAAGTGTTGAGATTGTACTTTTTAATGACGCAAAAGGATCAAAAGGAAACAAATGTGAAACAGTTCTGAGAGGTAGATTCAGATGTATTAGTTAATGAATATAGACTTCATTTTAGATAAAGACAACATTTAGTTGATTGACTGAAATTAACATAATCGTTCCATAAAACGAGGAAAGGCAAAACTATTTGGAAAACAGTTTTCTAGAGCATGGTTTTTAGCATTGTATAGTAGTACAGATAGTATTCAGTCTTATAGCCTTGGCTTAATTTAGTTGGAAAAAGTATTACTATGACGACTAGGTCTGTAGAGAAAACTAAGAGAAATAGAGAGGAGACATTGATAAAGAGTTTACCGCCGAGGAATAGCCCGCTTAGCCCCTTGGTAAGGTGGCAGACGATTCATCCCATGAGCATTTTAAGGACTTTATGTAGATTCTATTCTCACAAATTATAGTATTAATTAAAAAATCCTACGAACAAGTATATGATCCGAGCTTTTTAGTTATTTGTGATAAACTATTACAATATTCAAATGCATAACTTAAATAAAAAAATACGGTGAATAATGTAGGTAAAATCATCAAAATTCCGAAAATAGGAAGGTAGCGTTATATTGGAGCTATACGAAGTACTCACTACGAACTTCAAATACCAAATTTGAAACGATTCCGGTGAATAATGTCGCTAAAATCATCAAAGTACCGAATATCGGGAGGTACCGTTATATGGGGGCTATACGAAGACGTGGACTTGCACACACAATTTTCTGTCATAGGCTGTAGCATCCGTTACGAACTTCAAATACCAAATTTGAAACATTTCCGGTGAATAGTATCGCTTAAATCACCATAAAACCGAAAAAAGCGAGGTACCATTATGTGGGGGCTATACCAAAACGTGGACCTACATCATCCATTTTCAGTACCAATAGTCCTACAGACATAATACACATTTGAGTAAAATTTTATCTACCTATTTCATTTCGTTCGGAAGCTAGAGTGATTTCCACAGACGGACGGACATCGCTAAATCGATATAGAATTTTATGCTGACCAAGAATATATATACTTTGTGGGGTCCAAAATGTATATTTCGAGATGACAAACTTAATATACCCTCCATACTATGGTGGAGGGTATAAAAAGGTTCTTTTCGATTTTAAGTATCTTGAAGGATTCAAATGTTTCTCTAACCAATTTCTCTGCACAAAGTCACTCTCTGTAGTTCAATATTATGTAAGTTTTGCCTGTCTTTGCCGCCAATAGGGCGTTCTTTTTTAATCTCTAAATATCGCTTTTCCTAATGTTAGTTTGACCCATCCGGGCTAATAGTTTTTGCTTTACGAACCAATATAATGTATATCTTATTAATCTTTGTAATTCATCTCTTTCCAGAGGAACGTGCCGCCATTAACAATTGTCGTGGTCTACGCAAAGCACCCGTACTTATTGAAGATCTACGGCCGGTCGATGCAAGTTCAAAGCTGGAATATTCTTATCGACCTTTGGATAAGATATCACAATTTTGGGCTGGTCCCTCACATTGGAAGTTCAAAAGGACGCGTCCGAACCGTTTAACACTCGCCGCTCAGCAGCAGCATCTCTCGTCGGAGGGTGTAGCGGGACGCTTAAATCAAAGGGCGAAACGAAACAAGGCCGCCTTGGATAAAAAGAAATCAAAACAATTAACATTTGGCGAATTTCACGATGAGCTGTTCCTTAAACTGGATGACAAATACAAAAGTCGAAAGGCGAATATACAAAAGAAATGGGATCAGCGTAAACTTAAGTTACCCATGGACTTGCAAGTTGATCCTCTGCGTTTTCAAAGCTATAGATTAGCACCGGGTTTGACACTCTATGTAAAACCTGATGAGCGTGATAGTGCTGGAACAACAACACTTACTGGTGGAGTGGCCGATGGGGATACGTTAACGCAAGATGATCATCATTTCGATGACGGTGGAGATCATGATATGCCCTTCGATGATGGTGGTTGTGGCAATGAAGCTGGTGACGTGACGGCAATGAATAGGTCACATACAAGTGTTCACAATGATGCTCAAGAGGCGTTGGGAGCTGGCGTTGATAATGTGGAAAATCTCAATGAGACCGTCCTTGAAATAGCCCATGAATTTGAAGGAGCACCTTCACAAGTTACAAAAATTGTGGTGCCGTTTGCAAAACGTGCCAAGGTTATTGATATGAAAAATCTCAAACGTAGCTGTACACTCCTGCTCAATAAACAGTTCAAACAGCCCGTGAAAGAGGAAGATGTTCCCAAACATCCCATACCCAAGAAGGAACAATACCAAGAGGGTATGGGCAGTTTCCATGAGATCTATGAACACCTGCCCGAAATATTACCCAAAGCAATGGCCGAATCATTATCCACCTCCATAGCGTTTTACTCGGTGTTACATTTGGCGAATGAATTCGATTTACGCCTGATACCCGAAGATGATCTGAAAGATTTCAAAATACGCAAAGTGACGGGATAGCTGCTATACAACCGAAACACGTTTACGTTAATAATATAGTGTGACTCCTTAATATTGTTTGTTTTATAGTATTTTATAATAACTTACACATACATATAAATATTATTTAGTAACTTCATACCTAGAACTATTTTAAGTTTCCCTTCTTTCTACGCTATGGCCCCAGAAGCCCTTTATGTATAATGTATTATTACTATGATTTGCAATCTCTACTATTCTACTTTCTGTTTACTGTATCATTTGACTATATACAATTTTCTTGTTCTAAAATCTATTCATTTGCCACGTTATTTATGCCAAAAAGAAAACAAACAAACAAACAAAAATTTTCCATCTCATTAACTTCTAAAGTAATCTTTATTTTTAATTTTTCTTTTATTAGAAATTTGCCGTCATGAGAGTTTAAATTTAATTTAGTTGTTGTAGCCAATCCCATGCTTCATCAATAAAACGTCTTTGAAATCTATTTTCATTTCTCGATTATCCATTAATAATAACAGAAACTAAGGTTAATTTTTTACAAACATCCCCAGAATAAGCAGTATTTTTCTTAAGTTTTTTTTTCAGTGTGTAATTTATATATAAATAATTTACAAATTTTATGGTTTATATTAAAAAAAAAAAAAAAAAAAACAAATAAACAAAAAAGTTTTTAGAAAATTTACAAAAACTAAAATCGTATAAAGAGTCTCTTGTTTTCTTGTCTAGGAATAAGAGTTGGGTTAGTGCCTATTCTTTCTTTTCGTATGAGTTTTTCGTTTTCTTTTATTTTCTTCTTCTCCTCCTTTATGTTATTTCCATAGACTGCATAATGACGTAATAAGACTTCGAAACATAGAGATTTTGTTATTGATCATAATAAAACTTGCATGGCCTTCTCTGAGAATTTTGAGATGTGTCCAAAATTCTCAAAAAGTAAGTCGACACCATTGGCGTTGATCTTTGACGATCCCTAAATTTAATCGAATGGAAGTGCGTCAACAAATCAAAGTCTCGCCACCTTTGATAGTCCTAGATTTTTTGCTGAGTGGAATACAAATATGGCTACAACGTACAGAGAAACGATCATACCAGCAGTGGATGTGAAGCTAGTCTTAACAAGTCCCTTTACCATTCACCCCTACTCTGTAAGACGTCGTCGACAGCTAACGTCGACGCCTTGTGTCGCCGTGTTAATTTTGGCACCCCTGAAGTCGTGTCGACAGCAGACGACGAGTACTTGGTACTCGCTAAGGCGTTTATACAACCATGTTGAGTCGACTCGACTTACTTTTGGGCGTTACGGTTTTTCTGCACGCCTTGTGACGCCTTGATACAAACAACTGTGTTTTTATTGATTTGTAAGTTTTTGAAAAAAAAGAAAATGGAGAAAAAATTAAAAATTACAAATGGAACGCAATTTGATTGCTTAATAAAAGAACTTGGGAAAAACCCAAGCCTTGCGAAAGGGTTCAGCAGAGGCTCTCTTCCATCCAATTTTAAAAAAATTGGGAGGATATTACAACAAAACTGAATGCTTTTGGTCCTCCGGCAAGAGACAGTGATGGTTGGCAGAAGGTAAGGAATAACAGTATATGTACACAAATAATTAAACTTTCTTTGTTTTGTTTTAGGTTTGGAGAGATCTAAAATTCAAATGTAAAAAGAAAGTAGCCTTCAACAAGGCAGAATGCAATGCAACAGGTGGAGGCAGATACAAGCAGCTGCAACTTTCCCCGTTGGAAGTGGCAGTTGCGAGTATAATGAAATTTGAAAGCCAATTAACTCCTGATGGCTACGTGTGTGGCGCCAAAAAAGACCAGGGATTTTCTGTGGTACAGGGTGAGGAGGAGATTCGCTCAACACCAGCGTCTACACTTCGGTCTTAAAATGTTGAAGCCGAAGAATACTTTCCCACCGATGAGACATTCACCCACCATCAGCCTGGTAACATAAGTGCATGTGAGGAAGATTGGTTGGTCGAGCGCGTTGAAGATGAAGAAAACATCTGCCCGCCGGAGTCCTCTAGTGCTGTAACTCAAAAAAAGAATCAAAGAAAGCAGAAAGATAATAGGAAAAGCAGAGAAAGTTTATTTGAACTGCATAACAATATGCAAGAAAAGGTGTTGAATGAGATTTCCCGCACCATGAACTCAATCAAAAACACATTAAAAGCACCAAAAAAATTCAGGAAGAGGAGTTAAAATTACTAAAAAGACAAAATGAAAACGAAAAGGAAATAATTAAAATTAAGAAAGAGAAGTTGAAATTGTTAAGAAGAAAACATGAAAGAGAGGAAGAGTTGTTCCAAAACGAAGTGGAAATAAAGAAAATTGCGCTGGAAATCAAAAAGAGGAAGTTGCAAAAGCTGAATGAATCTGACCAATGAAGCCAAAAATTGTGATAGCTGCGCTTTACATAAATATTAATAAGTAGTACCTAGTCATTTTTTTCATTCTATAAGAATGAATTTAGGTATTTCATTTAATTTTTTTTTTTTTAGAGTCTGAATTTAATTCTAAGTTTGAAATAAGAATGAACTTTTTTTTTAAGTTTTAATGCATAAACAATGATTTTTTTATTAAAATCAACAAACTTAAACAAAAGTGGATTTTATTTGGTCTCGTATTTGTGAAGCTTCAATACTTTGTATATTTTCGTCTTCATTCTCAACATTTTCATTGCTGAGTTGTACAGGTACATCTTCGCTTAGATCATTTACACCATATGCAATACAAATGTTGTGTAATGCTGAGCAAACATTTGCAATTTTAGTTGCCTTTTCACTCTTATAATGAAGTTGACGAGCGCCGAGCAAACAGCGAAAGCGATTTTTTAAAACACCAATTGTTCTTTCAATAATATTTCTTGCTTTGGCATGTTTATTGTTAAAAACAGCCTCAGCACTCCCTTCTTGAGAAGAACGATATGGCGTCATCAGGTATGGCTCTAGCGGATAGCCTGCATCACCTGCATAAAAATACGTATATGTAGAGTATGAAAACAAAACGAAAAATTTCTTATTTGAAAGGTACTCAGTTCGACAATCAAGGTTTGTGAATGGTTTTTTTTTTTTTTGATATACTGTTCTCATGGTGATGCATTTTACCTAAAATCCAACTATTACGGTCACCACCATCATAACGTTCGCGCAAAATTTGTTTGGCGTGGCTCATATTCCAAATCAAGGAGTCATGTGCTGAGCCAGCATGTCGAGCATCCAAATACCTTATCCGCATTTTGTGATCGCAAATCTAAGTAAAACTTAAATTAGAATCTTAATTGCACAAAATAATTTCATTACTTACAATCATAGCATTTAAACTAAAAAATCCTTTACGGTTATAATAAATGCTTTGCTCCTCCTTCTTCGGTGTAAATATCTTAATGTGGGTCCCATCTATGCATCCAATGACGCCTGGAAACCCTGTTTTTTCAAAAAAAGCTAGTTTTGCTTCGGCTTTCTCATCCTCGGTCATACTAAATGTTACCCAGCTTGGGCAGATAACTGTCTCCAAAACGTCAAGCATTTCTGTGAGAATTGTGCTTACAGATTGTTGAGCCAAACCGAGATGCATGTCATTTCCAACACTCAACTGGTATGACCCCTGTGCCAAAAAGCGTAAAGTTGTAGCCAACTTTATTGTGGTGGAATACTTTTCTTAATTTTCGGCTCAATAGTATCAAGCAAGTATTTAAATGCTGCTTTATTGATGCGAAAATGGTTTTGAAACCTGTAGATAAATGATATATTTTATGAATGGCATGTATCATGACCCAAAATATAAAAATTATAAAACTTACTTGATATGTGGTAGGTTAAATATATCTGACCTTTGCCTTATAATTTTTCTTTGTATACGAAGGCTTTTTTTCTGTTCTTCATCACTAGAACTTGAACTTTCATCAAGTAAATAAATCATTTTACCAAATAAATTGAACAAAATTTTCTTTATTCGTTAGGGATTACACTTTTTGGTGGTAAATTATCGATACGCAGGCGTCACTGGCCGCGACGTCTTACAAAGTACCAATTTTGCATTCATGTGACGACGCCGAAGTCAACGACTTTGAGACGACGACGCCTTTGGCGACGACTTACAGAGTAGGGGTGATTATCAGCTGTAAAAAAAAATATCAGTTGAAATTTACAAATTCATAAGTTCCCATAACTTACATTTGAAAATAAAATACTTTTGTTTGCAATGCGATCTTTTCAATTTTTAATTCGAATTATTTCCTTCGAAAAACCTAAAAAAAATTTCGGTGAATAACTTTTTATACCCTACACCAATTTGTCTGTAACATGGTGAAGGCAGCGAGATACACCCATAGTTACTTTTGAGGATCTTCATAGAATCACTTTCTGATTCGATTTATACAGCCCGTCTGTTCGCCCATCTGTCCATGTATTTTTGTGAACAAAATGCAGGTCGCATTTAGTATCCAATTGAGATGAAATTTTCCAAACAATATTTGTTTGGTCCTACAATGAACACTATTGAAATTGGTGAGAAACGATTCAAATAAAGATATAGCTTCCATATATATCTTCAACCGATTTCGGGTTACTTGTTCACCCAATGACCAATATCAGTCCAAATAACCTGAATTTTTGCACATTTGACTGAATAGAAGCAAGTACATCAAATTTGGTTAAAATCGGTTCAGATATAGCTATAGCTCCCATATAAATGTTTCATCCGATTTAGTGTTTAAGTCATTTAACTGCGTAATATACACTCCACAAGAATAGTATTTTGTACCAGATGTGGGATACAGCCCAGAAATACCTCTGTCAAATATTATCGGGATCGGATGTAGCGTAGTAGATTTGGCTGTAGCGCACATACAGGGTGAGATAAAAAAAACTGCAACAAAGTCAAACGCCATAATTTTTACATTTTATTGAATTTTTAAATGTTATTGAATGAAAGCAAAACAAGTAAAAAAGCTGTAAGTTCGGCCGGGCCGAACTTTTAATACCCTCCACCATTTGGTACAAATTTGGCAATTTCCAAAAAATAAAATCCGTTAAAAATTCTGTTAAAATCTTAAAAATACCGAATGCTTATACGACGACGAGGGCCTGCATAGGCAACTTTTGTCATAAGTTATTACAATATTTAAATGCGAAACTTGAAGAAAAATCTGTTTATAATGTAGCTAAAATCATCAAAATACCGAATATAGGGGGTACCGTTATATGGGGGCTATACGAAGACGTGGACCTGCACAGACAATTTTCTGGCATGGGCTGAAGTATCCATTATGAACTCCAAATGCGTAATTTGAAACAATTCTGGTGAATAATGTCGATAAAATCATCAAAATACCGAATATCGGGAGGTACCGTTATATGGGGGCTATATGATAACTTGGACCTACATGGCCCATTTACGACTTAACCTTCCTACTGGCAAAATATACATGTGTGCAAAATTTTAGCCTTCTATCTCAATTTGTTCGAAAGATAGCGTGATTACAACAGACAGACAGACAGACGGACATGGCTAAATCGTCTTAGAATTTTACGCTGATCAAGAATATATATACTTTGTTGGGTCTGACATGAGTATTTCGAGGAGTTACAAACGGAATGACAAAATTAATATACCCTCCATAGTATGGTGGAGGGTATAAAAATGTCGGAAAAAGCATCAAATCTTAGAATAAGTTTACATTTGTTACGAATTTTGTTACGAATGGCCTTCAAACGGCCAATGAAACCGTCATACGCTGCCCAATGTTGCTCTACGGTATTTTGGCCCATTCCCGGCCAAGCGCTTGCTTGAGGTGATTGACACTTTGCTAGTTTTTAGTGCCAACCTTGATTTCCGAAATATCCCAGACACATTAGTCCAACGCATTGGTATCTGGAGATTTTAGTGGCCATTGTGCGCTGGAAATGAAGCGAGGAACCTCATTTTGTAACCATTCTTGGGTGGCGCGTGCTGAGTGCGATGGTGCTTATTCCAGCGTCGCAAGGTTTTTATACACGCTGCAGAATATTTTCGCGATAATATTCGGCATTTATTCTGATGCCACGGTCGATTAATACGAGCGGAGAGCGACCATCAGCTGTTATGGCGGCCCACACCATCACCATGGCCGGCGCTTTAGTTCTGGTTGCCAACCGAAGGTACACATTTTCAGCAGACCTCTTTGGATAGAAAAGACGATCATTTTGTTTGTTTACAAACTGCTGGACAATGAATGTTTTCTCATCGGAGAAACCCAAATTCGGCAGTTCACCACTTTCGGCCAAGCGAAGCAACTCTTTAGCTCTATTGAGCCTATTTTCTTTCTGTTGCAGTGTAAGTTCTTGCACTTTTTGGAATTTCAATGGCTTTACCCCGAGCTTATATTTCAATATGGAATGGAATATTGCGATATGTTCAGTCCACGAGCCATTTTTGGGTTTTGATCAAGTAGCTTCTTTACTTTTCGAACTATTTCTGCTGATATTGCTGTTTTCTTCCGTCCACTTCCTTGACGTCGTGCTACGCTACCATTATCACGGTAACGAGCGATGGTACGAGGCACAAAAGATTTATTCACATTTAAATGCTGGAGTGCTCTAACGATAGCCACATGTCACACTATCACGCTTGAATTCTATTGCGAATAACTTATTTTCTGGAAAATTCTCACCAAAATGCTTCGATATCCATCTTCATCCGATTTTACGGTTATTGCTCACCATATATGTAATATCAGCTCAAATTGAATAGATTTTTTCATATTCTATTGAATTTTACCATTTGGTGAAACTCGGTCCGGTATACCTATGGCTCCAATAAATATATTTTATATAATCCTTACCGAAGTCATATCATGCACTATACAACAAAGTTATATGGTACTAGAGCTACAAAAGCCTCCGTCAAATTTGTTGAAATCGATTTACAGTTGGATATAGTTCCCAAATTGTGACCACTATAAACCCATGATACTCATTCAAATAAGGTTCATAGTTATTATGATAAATATCCAATATAAACCTTTTTTGTTACAGGAGCTGTATAAAACACACATAGTGGCGTCACCTTTCATTACTGGTTTCTTTTGTAATTCAGGTTTTTATACCCTCCACCATACTATGGAGGGTATATTCATTTTGTCATTCCGTTTGTAACTCCTCGAAATACTCATGACGATTTAGCCATGTCCGTCTGTGTGTCTGTT